CTTTCGAAGAAAACGTTCCAAAAGTTTAGCACCAGCGACGATTCCAGTAAAAGTCCTTGAGGAATACCGGAAAATTTTTATCGAATGACAGTAGTTTGGAGAAACAATTGAAAAAGTTGACTTAACTATAAACAAGACAATCCTGTCCTCACACATGTATTATGATTAATTCTGCAAGTCAGATTAGGGTTCATACAAATAAATGTTCCAATTGGTTGACCACCGAAATAACCAAAGAATTGTAATTGTTCTCCCTTTCTAAAGCCAATGCAACGGGATCATCTTAATGAAGAACGCTGTCTGCATGAAAAAGCTGGGCTTCTCACTCACGTGCTGGAAATTTGCTAATATTTTCCGCAACACGAATGAGCATTCGAGCAGCACGTAAATGGTCACCATGTTTTACATGTACCTGAGAAAAAAAAGAAGAGTGAACAGTTACTTGGTTGTGCTTAAGCGCTCTAGAAATGCAATTACTGCGTGCTTTCAACTGCGTGCTTTCAATGCCAAAGGCTGAATGAGTGCTCAGTATTCCTCTTGCTTGACAAGCATTGAATCAAAATGACTGAAACGGATTTCGGAAGGGCTTGGTAAACAATCGGTAGTTATTTGTGCAACGTTTCGCTTTTGACACAAAAGCTTCATCAAGTCAAGTGAACAGGTCACCAAGTTGGCCAGGTTTTAAGGCAGCGGAGAGCTCATCAGTGAAACCTATTCATATTAGCGCACTAGATTAGTTTTGGGTGTCAATTAACGGCACCTGTCGGTTAGTATGGTTGTCAAAATCATGCACTGATTGATTGGAGGAGTTTCAAGTTAATTCTGGTTTGGTTGATTCTTTAATTTTCCACTTTAATGTGCTTCAATTGATGATTCAGTGCTGTTGCTGCTGATAGATTTCGTTGGTCTTTGTGGGGTTGTGAGTGCTCCGACAGTTTAGTTGGGGGATGGGTTGAGTTAAGTGGAATTCGAATGACGACTACTCATTCTTCTTATGACACGTATCAGCTCGACTGATCCCAACCCGTTCTGTACCGCTTGCCAGTTCCACGCTTTCTATTCTGTTAACACTGGGACCCTTGGTGATTTCTACCGCCTCGGCCATCAGTCTCTGTGACGTGGACCGTAATCTCCGCCACAAAACCTCACATTTTATAAATCTAGTTTGTGTCCCGTGTCCAGTGCATGTTCTGCAACTGCCGAGTCGTTTAGTAACGCACGATATTCATCCGCGTTCCTCGGCGGCCTGTTTATTTTCCTCTCATGCTATCCGATTCTGGTATGAAGTTCCCTGGTCGTCTGCCTATATAGACTTGAATGCAGTCGTTACGTTTAATTATATAGGCGCAGTCCCTGGTTCTGTTTTCCGGGAGGCGATGCTTCACTTGCACCAGTGCGGAGCGCACAAAGTTTCCCCTCTGGAATGCTACTCTCATGTTGGCCGCGTTTAGAGTCCTTTGAATGATTTCCAACGTCTCTGGTTTATATAGAAAAACAGGCGTCCGAAGCCATTCTTGTTTGGGTTTCGTCACCAGTACCAGCACCCTTCGTAACTGACGCCTAATCAAACTAGTTGGATAGCCACAACCCGAAGTTTGTTCCTTACTTCAATTTGGGCCGCTGTCCAATAAACTTCTTCCGTGCACGCTTAAACATTGATGAAGCAATGCTAGCGAATACCGATTTCGGATGGGCAGACGAGCAGTTCAAAACTGTCCCAGTGTCAGTTGGTTCCTCCTATACCGTGATCTATTTTCCCGGCCTTGTGTGTCATGCGGTCTAAAATGCCAGTGTACCAGAGGTTGACTTTATCTCCGTACCGAATTTGATGTGTGAACTCAATTCACTCAGATGTAAAACTCACTAAATTGTCTCGTTTCATCATGACCAAAGTATCTTCCATATAACGCCAGAATACCTTCGGTGGGTGAGGGAATCCGGCTAAAACTCTCTGTTCAAATTTGTCCATAAATAGATCTACTGAAACCGCGGAAAATGGAGATCCCATTGCTAGACCTTGTTCGTGGGTGTAAATCACAGTGTCGAAAACAGGAGATTCCGGACGCTTTGCACCACATTATGGTTTGAGGCATTCATTCATCAGGAAGGACGAGGTCGGTCGCATCCCTAGTTTCATGTGACAGCCGACTCAGTTTCGAGTCAAGCATACTATCTTTTTGAGAAATCTGTTTTGCTCGTTTATATTTTGTACCGTACCCTCCATTTAATTCAGCTCGAAATTAGATGGATTATGGGACTTTTTTTCAGTGATCCTTAAATTTTCCCGTTCTATCTGTCATTTATTGTCACAGTTCATCCGGGCTGGTGTGATTCATTGTCTCTGGAGCTATGAACACATTATACGAAACAAAGTGGGGAGAAAACGTTTCTATGTAAATCGACGTTAGCATAATGATAAGATTATACGGCCTCATAAGTGAAATCAGTCCACAAACTGGGGGTATATTTCGGCACAATTTCTTGAATGGTAATGCGGACATGGTGCACCAGACGAAATAACGCCAGTTCAGATTGTTAACAACCAAGTATTTTTCCACATTAGCACTATCAGAACGATCGGTTTGAACCATAAGGGAAAGCACCATTGACAACCAGTCTAGGATACGGGTCATTAGTGCATATCAGAACATTTTAGAAGGGAACATTCCTGTGATAAGGTTTGGTCGAAGGATTAAGCTTTCATGAGGATAGTCAGAGGACAAATGTGAGTGAAGAGAGAAGCACGAGATCCGGGAAAGTTATTTTAGGACCATCAAGAAAACCTCACGTTTCTGGATACGTTTGACTGGATTGCAAGCGTTACACTGATGGTCGTTANAGGCGTCCGAAGCCATTATTGTTTTGGTTTCGTTGCCAGTACAAGCACCCTTCGTAAATGACGCCTAATCAAACTAGTTGGATAGCCACAACCCGAAGTTTGTTCCTTACTTCAAGTTGGGCCGCTGTCCAATAAACTTCTTCCGTGCACGCTTAAACATTGATGAAGCAATACTAGCGAATACCGATTTCGGATGGGCAGACGAGCAGTTCAAAACTGTCCCAGTGTCAGTTGGTTCCTCCTATACCGTGATCTATTTTCCCGGCCTTGTGTGTCATGCGGTCTAAAATGCCAGTGTACCAGAGGTTGACTTTATCTCCGTACCAAATTTGATGTGTGAACTCAATTCACTCAGATGTAAAACTCACTAAATTGTCTCGTTTCATCATGACCAAAGTATCTTCCATATAACGCCAGAATACCTTCGGTGGGTGAGGGAATCCGGCTAAAACTCTCTGTTCAAATTTGTCCATAAATAGATCTACTGAAACCGCGGAAAATGGAGATCCCATTGCTAGACCTTGTTCGTGGGTGTAAATCACAGTGTCGAAAACAGGAGATTCCGGACACTTTGCACCACATTATGGTTTGAGGCATTCATTCATCAGGAAGGACGAGGTCGGTCGCATCCCTAGTTTCATGTGACAGCCGACTCAGTTTCGAGTCAAGCATACTATCTTTTTGAGAAATCTGTTTTGCTCGTTTATATTTTGTACCGTACCCTCCATTTAATTCAGCTCGAAATTAGATGGATTATGGGACTTTTTTTCAGTGATCCTTAAATTTTCCCGTTCTATCTGTCATTTATTGTCACAGTTCATCCGGGCTGGTGTGATTCATTGTCTCTGGAGCTATGAACACATTATACGAAACAAAGTGGGGAGAAAACGTTTCTATGTAAATCGACGTTAGCATAATGATAAGATTATACGGCCTCATAAGTGAAATCAGTCCACAAACTGGGGGTATATTTCGGCACAATTTCTTGAATGGTAATGCGGACATGGTGCACCAGACGAAATAAAGCCAGTTCAGATTGTTAACATCCAAGTATTTTTTCACATTAGCACTATCGGAACGATCGGTTTGAACCATAAGGGAAGGCACCATTGACAACCAGTCTAGGATACGGGTCATTAGTGCATATCAGAACATTTTAGAAGGGAACATTCCTGTGATAAGGTTTGGTCGAAGGATTAAGCTTTCATGAGGATAGTCAGAGGACAAATGTGAGTGAAGAGAGAAGCACGAGATCCGGGAAAGTTATTTTAGGACCATCAAGAAAACCTCACGTTTCTGGATACGTTTGACTGGATTGCAAGCGTTACACTGATGGTCGTTAGCAGTTTGCCGTTAATTCATACGATTTCGTGATATCCCCTTCAGTTCACTAAACAAAATTTGCTCCATCTTTAACAACGTAAGACATCTTATTTATCATGAGTCTTTCGCCAGATAACCAGCCAAACAGCAGAACCCCACTAAGTGACTGTACTCACATTCAATGAAGATATTGGTACGAGTAGCCCAAGAATTGGGCTAATCATATTTGAACTTGCTCCACAGTACATCTTATGAGTTGATGAATTCCACAAACACCATGTTACTCCTCTCCAGTGTAAAAGCTCACCTGTCCAGGCCGTTTGGTAAAGTCAAAAATGATTACCTCTAGAGCCAAATTTGGTTTCCGAACAGTTAATCAGTATTCACTTTCCAATCCGTAGGATGTCACGATTTCCAAATTTTCCAGCCCTGTTGGACCGACGAAGAGCCGAATTTTTCTGTTTTGCTTTGAGTGAAGTGGAATTTTGCTTATCAATCCAGTGGTCGAGTTTGCGGGACCGGGATAAATTAGTCCTAAGGATGTGGTGTACCATCGTATTTACTTCCGCCATTTTTATAGGTAAAGTGTTCCGAAAGTGTGATCAAATATATGTCCAGATTTTCAACGACACTATAGAGAAACAGTATATTTATTCAAATAATTATTCTGCAGTCACTTCATCTACTAACAACCCGTTCTGGTTCCCCAGCAGCTTCGTTTTTATGGATGTCCTCAAATAAAATCTGTCGAAAGCCTCACCTTGGCAAGCACATACGAGTGTAATAAGGCCAAATTGTCGGCCATTTCTGATGGGACTCGTAGGTCACGTTGGCGTAGTTCTTGCACCAAACTAAAAAGCAGGTCATGGGCGCTGCGATAGTTTCCGGCTGTCTGCTCTTCGCGCGCAATAATGACGGCTGTGCGGGCGGCCTCTTTGTATTGTTTGAGTACCATGTAGAGCCTAAATAGATGTCTCGCATCTTTAGGTACTCCATCGGCTTCACCCATCAAGTAAACAATCAGAAAGTGCGTTAGGCGTGTGTCTCCGGCTAGACCAACGGCTTCCAGAGCCAAATCCAGTGCTGGGCTGTTTTCAGAGTAGGGAGCCCGCAAAAGAAGTCCGACGGCCTTTAAGAAAAGCGGGGAAAACAGCAATGAGTATCAAGCAGATAATGGTGTATGTAATAACATCTTGTAACCCAGTGGAACTCGAAGTGGACTGAACTTGCTCTTATAATCAGCACTCACTCGATCGCATTGGAGTTCCATTAGAAGGCTAATAAGATCCCATTTTCTTGGATTACTATTAACTATTAACCCAATTCTTCAAGAGTATGTTGAAAAAGCGAAAATGTAAAAATGGTAACAAATCTCGTGTGGTCGTCTCAGTGCACCAAAACATGTGGGTAAGTCAAGGAAGTGACAAGTTGTTGTAGCGTCTTCTAAGTAGATGTGGTCCTTGGTGGTTGTAGACGCGAATCCCATTGGATATCTCATTTTATCAACCGTATTTTGCGCCAGAAAGCTAGCCGCATATTGGAAAACAACTGATGCTTTGATATAACTTAACTAACTACTGGAACTTGAAAAGTATACAAAAATAACTATATGGTATTTTCATCAAAAACTTTTCTGAAGTAAGTAGCACGTGATTCTGACCTTCCAGTATAAAATATACACCTAAATCACCTTTTCTGAATACCTCTGGCACCAAAGTAAGAAATTTAGGTGTCTCAATTTGCTCTCATATCATGGCTAATCAGCAGTGCTCACACTTCGAAGAACCGAGATTTTAACTTCATTCCCCTGTCATGCGGGGCGAACTGGTAGCCGCGGACCTATCAGGGCATGCCGGATATTCCTAAAATATCACGTCTCAAAGAGCAGGCATAAATGTACGGCCGAAACAGCCACTCAAACGGTGGCCAAAACAGGGCTCTGGATAGGCTGTTTGATGACCGGTCTGAGAGTGCTTGCTGATCAGGGAGTGCTATGAGCATCTAGACAACCAACCACCCACATTTCCCTCACGTGAGCATACGTATGGTTGACTTGGTAACCCTAGAATATGATTCGTCCTTGAAGCTCTTCATTAACCGGACCTCTTAGGAGTCACAATTTATATTCATCACTTATGTCCGGTAAAACGGCAATAGACGTTTTGCTCATCAATCAGGTGACCGAAACACGAACCTAGATGTGCTCTACAAAGAGAGATTTTCCAGGTGGCTGGTTGCGTGTCAGTTGTTCACATACATAAACTTATGTCCGGTAAAGCGGCGATAGACGTTTTCCTCGTCAATCAGGTGACCGAAGCACGAACCTAGATGCGTCTAGAGATGTGCTCTACATAGAGAGATTTTCCAAGTGGCCGGTTGCGTGTCAGATGTTCACATACATAGTGTTTGCACCAACTTCACCAACAGTGAACTTTCTTCGCCAAGTACCACCAATTTATCATTCTAACGCTATTAGTTTACCAGCATGTTTCAGAACTCAGGGGTCATGCCAGTCTTTTTAGAAAAAAAACAGGTAATCAAGACTGGTTAATTCTGTAACTTGATCCATCCTTAGTTGGGAATCACTCAGGACGGATATCAGGATTGATACAGTGGCAGCTATAGATGGTCGATAGATACTGACTTACTCCTATGGGCTCAGTTTTCAGTCATCGTCGGTCAACGCCTTCACCGTGAAGATAGCCTTACATAATAGTCATTACATCAGAAGAAACGGCTGTAATCTGTTCGAAAACTCGGCTTGAAAGTTCAATCCAAAAAGTTTGTATTCTCACAAGATCATCGAAACTGTTTCAAATGAAGATATTCCCTCGAATCCGGAACATCGAATACCAAAATCCATCCAACATTGCTCACTTTTTCGTATTGCTTGGCCAGAAGGTAAAACTTTCCTGCAAGGTACCAGTTCTTCTCGTTTTCAAAATAGCACGCGATGCTCTGGAGTTCGCTGACATTTGCCTCAGGACCTGAAACAATTTGGTAACCACTGATAACTTTCAAGAAACCAGGATTTTGGGAGAAAAATGCTCTTCTTGCTAATTTTTATGTCAAACAATGCGCATACTAATTCGAACAATGATGAATCAAGGTAATTCACTAAAGCAACAGTTACTTTGGAATTTGATGGCGACTTATTGTGCCTTGTTTGATTGTGCGAGTCACGTATCAAATACATTACCTGGAATGAGTCAACTAGTGTTTTCTTCATTCAGCGAAAACGTCAAAATAACTGTTGATGACACCTTGTCCGTTATTAAGTTGACTAATTTTTTGACGTATCCAGAATCAGAGTAGGAGTCAGACGGCCTTGGATGAGGGCACAATTGGTAGTTTGGTGAGGACATTTACATTTTAATCCTGGATGGTGATGTAGATATAGTCCTACTGGGTAACAGCTGAGAGCATATTAAGTAATGTGAAAATAGACCTCCATTCAATGAACTAGGGTGCAATGAATAACTTTTATGTATGTGTAATCTATTGCCTACGTTCACCTTGGTTGCCTCGTACCCCATTATTTTACTGATTTGGTTAAATAAACTAGTTTTCATTCCTATGTATTTTGAATGCAAACACAAGCGAACCGGCATAGCCCCATGGAAACATTTTTCTACAGTTGGAAACGGTACAGTAGTCCTATCTTATTTGCATGGCATGATTTATCGAAATAATTCTGACGCTTCTTATGTATTACCACATACATAGAGAAGGCACCCTTAATGGATCAAATTTAGTCAGATATTTGGTTTTTGTGTGTTTATTAGGAATCTTGGCAATTCGTGCAACGAATAAATTGAAGATATTAGTTCTACTTCTTTAGAATCTAGCGAAAGAAGTCCAAATAAGAGCGTGGCTAATAACAGAGGGAAGTGGAGAAACAGATAAACACCCAAGCATTAAGGTACTACATTAGGTTGCTCTTTTGTTGCAGAAAACGAAGGATTGTGGTTATTCTCACTCAGACATACCTTGGGAATATTTCCATCGATTTTAGCCTTGGACTAGGCTGGAAACAAACATTCATCTTGAAAATATCTGTGAATTCTGTTCCTCTAGTTTACTCCCTAAATTACCAAAATGGCTGCGTTTTTAAAAAGATCAACCACTATTGACGATATCATATTAGGTGGGCGCAGGATGTTGTTTGCATGACTTCAGTTCCCTAATACACCTGCGTGTTACTATAAGAGAACACAGTGCATCCATGTTTCGGGGAGTCAGGAGGCATTTGCATTAGGAGGTGTCACTTTTGCTAATGATCTTGGTGACGATGATAAAGATGGACGCCGATTAATGGTTGACTATACTACTACTACTACTACTACTACTACTACAATACTTGCCAATATATAAAGTCTAGCGCTCAATGGTATCGGGAAGAACACCAACTCACCTATCACTTCAGCATACAGTTCCATTTTTTTGTGCTTCCTCGCCAGCTGAAACGCTTCATCAACGCATTTGGAAAGCACCAAGAAGCGAATAGCAGAAGCATGGTCGTTGATTCGTGTAAAGTACTTTGCAATCATTTTGGCTCCTTCTACACTCTTGGTTTCCTGCACAACACGTACTGCCTCATCTGGATTGCCAAGTTTCTCCAGGTGGAGTCTGTGAAACAGGACAGTAATGTGTGAAAATACGATATGTGAAGGGATTAAACCTTAAAAAATAACAGTGAAAAGAATCTATCGATGATCCTAGAAACAGGTTAGGCGCTCAATCGAGGGCTATGGCGCCATTGCTGTCTGAACAAATAGCTCGAATTTCAAGACGCTAATTCAATGAAAAGTGACGACATCACTTTTGACCTGATGAAAATGTTGGTCATTGTTTTAAAATGATCAGTCTCCCAATGACGTGCTTTCACCTGATTCCGAATTCCTAAAAACCAGTTTGACTTGCGACACAAAGGGTACGCTTTTCCACGCTTCCCCATTTATTCTGTTTGCAGAGCATGCGATAATTGTAACAAGTGGCTGTCAGAGGAGTGTACTTTTTTAAATAGCGCGAAACGTTTAGGAGAGTGAAGTCCGAAGCATTCAGTAGAGGGAAATTAACTTGGTGGAGAAAAGAAGTGAATGCCATGCTCTACAATGAAAACTGTTGTTCACGCTGTTGCTAGCCTTTTATAAAATAGGGCAAGGATGATTCAATTTAAGTAGAGACTAACGAAGTCGGTTGTTAGCCGTTACATATTCTTCTCAGGATGCAATATCAAGTACTTTTGTTGTATGTCCCTCACATCACGAATCAGGAAGATTCGCCATGAAACGCACTGGACTGTTCGTCTGTATCATTTCGTGACAGGTTCTATTATAAAACGTCTTCCAACAGGAAGTTAGAAAACACGCTGAATGAGTGTAGACACAAAGTTGAAGGGTGTATCTTGGCCAAGAACATTTTGGACGGTGACTTCACCAGCCCATCCATTGAGAAGGACTTCCCATGTCATAATTCTACGCGTGAACATAAGATGTGACCCATCACATATCCATCAGTAACGGTCGTACATTCTGAGATATGCCAGTGAGTTCCAACATTCAACATCTTTGGGACACACGAACGGCTTGTGAAAACTGTACTAGACGTTTGACTTGACAACCACTTCTGTCCTATTGTGAAAGTCACAAGAGCAGCTCGCTGACTTCACAGTGATAACCAACCAACTTGTGAATACTGGTGACTCATTGGTTTGACACCTATTTCAACCACTGTTAAGGAGACATTGCAAGTCGAAGTAGAAAAACAACTAGTTTGGGACAACTGTTTCGATAGAACGAATAAAGAAACATCAAAAATATTCGTGTGTACACAGTCTCCAGTATCAACTTGATTATCCAATTCTAACTTGCCATGCAGTTGTTTGAATATTTGGGAAAACTTGGATTAAATGCAAAACCAGTATTTACAGATCCTCATCGAATCCACGGTTTCTAGTCAATCTTAGATAATTTGGCTAGGCATGTGGGTGTTTCTTAGACAATACAGGCTCAGTGTTCCTTAAGCTAGCCTTATATCTGTTTTATTTATGTGCACGCTTCGGGAAGCTGTGAATACTCTCACCTGGCAACTGAATCCCAGTCATGAGCGGCTTCGTAAGCAACAACCGCTTCTTTGTATGCCCCGTCGGCCTCACGTGCCTTCGCATATTGCAGCTGCAAACGAGGCGCGTTTGCCACACGTCGCAACAAATCACCAGCTCGTCGGAAGTTCTTACAACGCAGGTAGACCGTAATGGCTGCCTCATAACATGCCGCCGTTTCATAAAGGCTTGCGGCTTCTTGCCATTGCTGACAAGAGAGACGGAGAAGTGGATCGGCATGATCATACAAAAACCGTTAACCGGCATATTCCCGGCTCAACAAATCACTATGACTAAATTCACTCACCCAGATTTGGTAACGCCAACATACTACGATTTTTACTTTGGAGTCACATACCTTTGTTTGTTCAAGGATATCCGCACATTCCTTCTGAAGCGCAGCGTTTCCACTTTCTTTGGCAAGCTGCACCCCACTGGAAAAATAGTGAACAAATTAGTTTGGTCCTTCATCAAAGCGGTCATGACGACAGCAAAAGGATAGAAACTTGGTCGGCCAGAAACTGAGACAAATTGGTACTTTAAACTGTTGTTTCGCAAATGGCAAAGATTTCTGTACATTATTCTCCTGTTCGGATGCACCAAGAAATCTCTAAAGCAAAGTTAAATTTTTCTGCAATTGCTGCTACCTTGTTCCATTACTCACGTGCAAGAGTTCAGCTGGTATACAGCGCAAAAGTTGTAACGGACTTTTTGATCACCCCTTAGTTGACCAAAACTGAGGAACCAGAAGTCACGTGCAGATGCCTATGTTGCTTCTGTACAATATGTCGTCTGACTTCTTTCGTTCTGTATCCGGAACTTGTGCTCTCATTCCAATTTGTGGGCGGACCGTAATATGTTTTACTTGTAGATAGTTAGAAGCTTTACAAAACCACAGTACTACTGAATGAAGATGGTAAGATAAGCTCACTGATCGGCACGACCAAGAAAGGTACTGGAGAATCCTTAGGACAAATAGATTCCTCGTTTAAGTGAATTGTGAATCTCCCATTTGTGACGCTGATTCAGCTGGTTCATATCCGCTTGTTTCAACATATCCACTAAGAGAAATCGCCCCACTAGGACAAAAAACACCAATGAGATGTGTATTTCCACACCGAAGCACAATTTTCCGAAGATAAAAAAGTGGATTAATACTATGATCATCATACGATTGTGCCATTACGAAGGTGGTTATGTCGATTCACCTACTTTACTAATTAGCCAGATCAGCAAATTCAGAATGTCCTAGTGCGGAAATATTTCCACCGCACTTGTATGAGACGTTCGGATACAAGTTTCCTCTGAATCAAAGTTTTGCAATGGCAGCGATCTACGTTAAGAGTTGAACTTAACTTCACCGATTCACTTAAATTCGTTGTATATTCACAGCATCGTCTCACTGGAGGCAGGTTGGTGTGGGTACAATTATACAGCTGTTTTAAATTTGCAAGAAAATCTAGTCCCAAAAGCTTAAAGCAAAACTGTAATGTGCATTAGCATTTCATTCGAATGATTAATCGATCGTATGAATAAAGCATACGTTGACAATGCAGCAAGTCGAACGTTCGAAATTCAGCTCTGCGCTTGTCGCTCTTTATTTTGTAAAGCTTTAGGACTTTGTAATAATTTACCGGAGTTGCTCCAATTGCTGACAAGTTGTTGAACAGACTTACAACTTTGAGTCGACTGTGACGGTCTTAAGAAGAAAATCGGCAGACTTCTCAGATTAACCAAATGTAGCTACTATAAATGGCTGGAAAATACTGGCTTACTATCAACGAACCGATTTCTCTGGACGATCATTCGATCTTAGTTAAATCCTGTTTTTCAACGCCGCATTCTAGCTTGATTTTGTCATATTCCAATCCTTTTCCTACAAGATTAGCAACAACAAGCACATTTCACACTGTCAATGGGCTGCAAGCGCAAAACAAGATTTGCAAAAAAGTTCTTTGTGATTGGTTACGTTTATTGGGTCCGGCTCTACGAGTCTGCAGCCCTGGATTCGCCTACCGTCAAGTATTCTGACCACAAAACAAGACATTCCGTAGAGTAACTATTTCAAATGAAAGAAGTCACTGAAAATCAAATGAGGCTGGTTTAGTTGCATCTGCTTAAGTTCCCACTGGAATTCATATAACTTGTCCTGATTCGCAATTGAATCACCTAACTTACCGCTTCCAGTCACCAAGTCGAATAGCATTTCGTGCAATTCCCGCGTTGCACAGCATAATATGTTCTTGCCAAAACGCTTCATCCTTCTGACGGAAGACATTTTCTGACTCTAGAATATTCAATGCATCTCCGCTATTAGCTTCCAGGCGGTCACTGTCAGTATTCACAAGATCGTTAAGATCAACCGGGGTAAGCGCTCGTTCGAAATGCATCAGTGCGTTGACATAGTCTCCAAGACATTCCATTTCGACGGCGTATTCGCGGCATATCTCGGGAATTTCTTGTGGCGCCAAGGAGCGAGCCAGTTGAAGCGCGGCCTCCCAGTGGAGAAGATCACGGCGCATCTAGAACAGGTTACCGGTTGATTAATCTCAAAAATGTGTTGTAATTATCACTTTTATAATAAACCTGCATCAAGTGCATAAGTTTTGGAAGATAATTTTGATAAAATAAAGGGAGACAATAGATAGTTCACTATATTTATGCTAAAAATATCGGTCGATATGAAAAGTTTTATTCTGTTAGATTAGACTGATCGTGAGCAACTAATTAACCTTTGTTGGACACATATTTCAGAATTATGAAGGGAAAAGTCACAAACCTCAAGGGCAGCATGTGGTTTTGATGACGCCAAAAACAATTGCTCAGCCTCGTCAAATTCCTTTAAAATCATTGCCACGTAACCGGCCAGTAAGTATGCATCTTCAATAGACTGAATACGCCGTATCGATAGGACCAGTCCGGGATTGTTGCTCCGTCGAAAACATCGAACAGCTATATCAAACGTGAACGCGGTTGGTAAGTTTCGATACGTTCCAGAAAGAAAGCACACCAGAGGGTTCAGCAAAACAATAGGTTTAAAATTATTTAGGCGATCTTATCTTGCGGTGAACAGTTGCTAGCAGGTTCGCTATTAGTGTCAGATTACAAGGTCAAACTCCTTGAGAAAACAGTTGATATGGAAGGCTAGTAGCTTGCAAGAGGTTAGCGCGATGACTTTGTCTCATTTGTAGTGTGTGTTGAGGCATATTTGGACAATTTTTGAAGACGGAAGTTTGTTGCGTCTGAGTTAAATTCTGAAAAATGTTTTCCTCAAAAAAGCGAGCCCAGAAATAAGGGTTAACCTATGCGTATCCTGGCGTTTGTCACACCTTGATCGATGGATCTTCTAGCCCTAACTCAGAAGATTGAGGACCAAACATTTTTATGAAACACAGGGTTCATTCAACTTAACTGTGTTGTTTAAGGGGATCCTAGAGTAGCTCTCAGTTGACTGGCGTTTAGTCGATATGCTTGCCTGTCATTCACTAGTTTTATTTTGAATTCGTATACCGTATACCGTTCTGACTTGCCTGTTTGATCAGCTGGACGCCTTAAGATTTTGGTTGTTTGCTTTCTTTGATTGAGCTGTTTCCAAATGATGTTGTGTTGTGGTCTGCTTTCCTGGATCCTGACCGATTCATGGGGTGCTTTTCCACCTTGCAAAGTTTCCCTTTTTCTACTACAATGCGCTCTAATTTGCCATGTAACGCCATCGAATTGTCACACAGTGGAAAAATAATCAGTCATGCAACTTGCTGTTCCACTGAGCTGCTCATTATGTTCAGAATCAGTTGAATATTCAGTTATCTAGAAAATATCCATTCCCCTAGCTTACGCATGGTCAGTGTTTGTTTAACGTAGTGTGTGTAAGGGAAAGTATTACCACTAAACATAAGTTCTGATTTTTGGAGGATTTGGATGTATTCAAAAAGATATTTGTCAGCAAATTTTAACATTGCGGCGATATAGAACGGCTCATACTTTCATTCTTTCAGGCTCAAATATAGGGAACACACTACTGGGGATAAAGCAAGCATTGAGTACATGATGGAGACTTTCCAATAAGGCTCCCCCGTCCCATGAGATCATTGTAGGAACATAAGGTATTATTTCATCTCAGGTGACTCTTACAAAAGGAGCGCCGTTCTTTATCCGAAGTTACGTTGAAGATAGTCTCAATTAATAATGCGTCAGAGGACTACGCAAAACATATGATCTTTATACTACTTCGCAGACAAATTTAAAAATAGGGGTAGTATAAGAAAATAATGCTGGATAGGGACACTGGGGCACTTCAGACAGAAAATTAGGAACAGGGGGAAGATTTGCTACGCCGTGAAATTAAAGTCCAAGTTTACGTGACACGAAATTGTTTGTCCTTACTTTCGACTATTACCCGCCAGAAAGTGGCAGCCAAGGCACCCAGAAACAGAGAGGATTCTAGCAATTTCAGATGTAGGAAATTTGAATACCCATTTCCTTTGTTCCATTTATGACCTATGTGGCGGATGGGCTGAGGGGGACAAACTGGATATCTTGTGAGTGCGAACAGTTTCTCACGTTGAAAGATAATATCACAAAATTAAAGACAATTTGCTTGTTTTGAAAGGTGCGCACTGGCTGCGTGTGTTCAAGACCAAACGATTAACTCGACACTCACCCAAATTGAAATGCATGACCCTTAGGCAAGCCATGCCCAACTGATTCCACGTCCGCTGATTATCCAGACGATCTGCAAATATACAGGCGTCCTCAAAACATCCCACCCGCAAGGCCTGCTCAAACGAAGATTGTAGCTGCGAAGGTATGAAAGATACGAAAAGATACCGGCACGATTCGTAGGAATGTAATCCTAAACCTCAGAGTCCGTTCAGGTAAACAATTTATTAGCGGCAACATTCCATGAAAATCTAGTTAGTTCAAAGTGACTGGCATAAATTACTTACCTCAGTCGGATTGAGTTTTCCTATGTCTATATTGGACTGATCACGTTTCCCACTCCTTTTTCTAGGAACACTAGATTTCCTTTCCGGCTGTTCTGGTCCATCCCCAATGGGTGGTGGGGACAAAGCAGGTTCTTTCACTACCTCTTGAGAATCATGTGCGCTGGAAGTTTGATTAGAGCTTGTGAGATAGAGCCGAAAAGAGTGTGTTGCCAGAGTTTGGAGGACCAGCCGACCATTTGAGTTGAGGAAACACATTTCACCAGAACAAACGGCAAGCGGAACGTGTCCATAGGGAACACGTGTGACACCAACTGCCCTACAGCGTTCAACTGTGAAGTATGACAAGAAAAATTTTAGGTGCAGTCTCGACAGTCGAAAAATCCATGACTTAGGCATAGCTCACAGCATTGACAAACAGCATAACGACAGGAAGTTTGGGTTAGCGTACGGCACCTTATGTGGCAACCTGATGTGTGATCCTGTTAGTAGATGGAAAGTTAAGAATTGGGGACAGAAAGTATCCGTGAAATTCAGAAAAACATACGGTCTGACAAAGTAAACTTAATTTCCGTGATTTTCATCAAGCCAGGACATTACGAAATTGTGAGAAAGCGTACAGTATAGGCACTTGTTAGATGACACAGAATTTTGGAGAAAAGTGGATAAAGAGGTATCCAGCTTCACCCAGACAAGAAATGATTAGGTCATTGCCGATTTCGCAGGCGCAGTTGGACTGACCGCTGGCCAATGCTGTTTCAAAAATAATGTTAACTTCCTCCGAATACAGCTCGGTCAGTTATATTACCAATTTCAACGGCCTCAGCAACCTATAACTTATAACGACCCGGATAAAGCTCTCACCATTCAATCTGAAAGTCTCTAGATGGCACAGGAGGCCATCGTTTATCTGCAGCATGACCAGTCTCAACCACAGGTTGTCCTTGGGCCTGTTCTCCTGTTCCATATCTCAGTGAAATGCTCTTGTGTTCCCGTATCCCTTATTGTAGTGTACTATTTATAAGACCTACGTACAATACTACACGCGAAAATACGTATATGAACACGCAAAGCTGGTGGTAAATGTTGACAGCTTGTCTTTTAGCTGGAATCTGATTGTGTCGGTGGGACTAAAATTCAGGCGTAGATTAGCGGCTTGTAATGGTAAAACTACCTAATCTGTCTTATTTACATGGACGACTGAGTTAGGCGTGTCACTGTTTGGTGGAATGCTTTGAGCGTCTTAGTTTGTCCCACTGCGTGGTTTTGCTATACTCCTTTGTGGACAACCATTTTACCGCAGGATTCTACCAAGAACCGTGGTTAATTCGGCAGGCAGCTGCTGAAACAAGGTAAACAGTTAGATGTCGTATGCTCCTTTTCTGTTTTAGTAAGAAAAAACTGTCGAACTGAATATACTGTTTCGTAAATGTCTACGTTCTTTTACGCTGTACTTTGCTGTGAGCACTTCCGTCTTTTTGCGTATATCGAATGTTGATACGTAATGAGCCAAAGGACTGCAAAAGAGAAAGAGTTGATAACATCTTTCGAAATCATCGAAATATTTTTACGCGGTGATAGCAGAGTGTTAACACTTAGATTTGGAAACCAGAAGACAACGTTTGGTTCTATTCAGTAGAAAATATATCGGAATGTTCAATTATTTCGGCACGCGTCACTGCTAAAGCCGAACTGGACGTTTCAGGTGCACAGGCGTAACTGGCGAGAATTTGTAAAGCTGAGCGCTATCCAGTTAAGTTGCGGAAGACATTCAAGAAAGAAATAACAAAGGAATAACGTTGAGTTGCTAACAATGGAATTCTAGAAGAAACTTTCTTGTTAACAACCGTTCGTTCGTTTGAGACGCCTATCAACCGTGGGGAAGGACCACAAACTCGGATCGACTCGGGTGGCGGAATCCACCTGCTGGAATATTTAAATTATGTGATCATCCGAGACTTTCTATAAAGAAAACTGGTGTCCAGGTATGTGGACAGAACATCACAGTTAACATCACAAGAGGATGGACGGAACCAAGAAAAGGTTGCGATTCGGTCTGTTTCATACCCGTGCACCTATTAAGTTATCAATGCATCAGTTTCCCGTTTCAATTTGACACACACCAGAAGTATCCACCAGCAACATCCAGAAAAATGTGCTGACGAACTGTTGTGATATAGATTAAATACATGCTCCCAATAAAGACCTAAACACTGAGAATTTATAAGTATCACTAATGTCAAATAATAATAAAGTATAAGAACAAATAATAAGACCCCAATATAAATAATCTGTTTCAAGTTCAAGACGCAAAGTGTCACTCTGTGTGTAGCCCTAGACCTCGGAAGCGAAGTGCTGTACGGCAGCTGTCTCAGTGAAATCACTGATGACTTTAAATCTGTTTAAAATAATAAGATCCGGGATTTTATCAGTCACCGTACTTGCTTCAATTCACAAAAGAGCTATTTACTGAATTATTACCACAGTGAAATTATTTAATAGGTGTATTTATTAGATTTAACCAACCATTTGGTTACGGTGGCCTCGACTGTTGTCAGCGGAAAACCGTTTCTATTCCTTCATTTGCAATTATCTATGCATATTTTATACATATTATATATATATATATATATTATATATTTATATTTCAAGTGAATTTTCTTCTCATGTACATATACAGAGTGAGCAAAACGCGCGTGTATGCCATATTGACTACACTGGATAAGATGCTGTGCATTGTCTACTTTGTAATCTTTGAGCGGTTTAAACCAAGTCCTATGATATCAGTCACGGAGTTCGTGTCGAGAGGGTCGGATACAAAATGCAAGCAGTTCCTGCTCTAACTATTGCAGTGTGCACAAATCGGAAAAATGTAAACCGTAGATTTACTCAGAACGAAAAGGGAACTCATATGGTGTCACATGAGCCACAAAAGATGATTAAGTTTTTGCAGTAACAAAAGACAAAAACGGCAACCAACCACAATGAGAGGAGGAGAAGTAAAAATGCGGCAGTTTACGCTCACAGATCGATTGGTGAAAATTAGCAACTTTCGGTAGCCCTGGCTGGAGACAAGCCGTTTGCTTGCTAGCCGAATGAAGTCCTGTATGGGTGTCCCCACTTAAACTTCCAGCTCGGATAAGCAAGTGGCCGTTGGCAAAACAACGATAGACAGTCATGCGAGTATCGTCACAGGCAACGAGCAGCGGCTGAGATAAGAGAAGCGGGGTGTAGAGATGCGGTGTGCAGTGCGCCATGCATATTGTGAAGTGCAGAGCAACAGTGAAATCCGGCAAGAACTCACCCAGTGAGGAATAAGTGAAGTAAATATACTCAAAAGAATTCCTGTCCTTTACGGCAAATAATCTGCGCACCTGGTATCATTGAATAGTTTAAATCAAAGAAACTGCACTCAATCAGAAAGCATATACCAATGGTTTCCAGTAGGTATAATTGGAAGTACCGAATCAATGGGGATAAATCAGAATGCAAGACACCGGAAGTTTGTGGTTGGATTCACAAATATGTATCAATCGAGCTAAACCAAAAACTGGTGAGGTTGTCAACGTAGACGAAGTTTAACAGTTGATCTGTCTCCTCGGGGATGGATCTAAGAGCTTTATTCATGAAACATTGTTTTGTTTTCCAGCATTTTCTAGCATTCAGCCCTTAGTTTTTACAAATTTACGATATCGATTCTTGAGGGGGTAATCATAGCGTGTATGGCAAGAACAAAATGAAGTTTGACGAAAGGAAGGTGATGAGGGACGACTGAGGTACTTTTCATATTGAGACGATCCGTGTTCATTTTTCCTCTCTCAATTCGGGTTTTCATCTGCACAACAGCCTTTTTTGTATTATCACTGGAGAAGCAAAACAATCACGCTTTATCAGACTTAAACGGGATGTTGTAGTATGTTTATTGAATGTGTGGATTAGCGAAATACACTCATTCGAAAACTAATTTGGTTTTCCGAGATACTCATCTAGAACCCAGCTGAGTCTCTCATTTATGATGTCTGAGGTAGAACATAAGGTTTACGGAAGCTCGGGAACTGCGCCTAACCGATGAGCCCAAGAAAGACGAAACCGGTCGTGGGCTGTCGAAGAATTTTCAGCACCCTTATGAGTAGTGCACTATGTCTACACAATGGATGGTCTCCTTCGGACGATGTGTAGTGCAGTGTAATATAAAATTTCTAACGGGATTCCTGTTATTGATCGCCGTATTATAACTACCGATCGAATTTGAGGTTGATCTTTTGCACAGATTCTATGAGGATCTTTGGGTCATTGTAAGCGGGTTTTCGTGATCGCCTCTGGACCAACACAATGAAAACGGGCCAAAGCTGCTATGTGGTGATTGCACGGTAACTCAGAAGCGATGCACAGCAGGAAACCAGAGGCCAAGGTAAGCTTAGACCTTCGAACACGATCGGTTGTTCGGTCGAACAATTCCATTGTTTAACTCAAGAATTGTATTGTATGAACCCTGATCCAAGTAAAAAGGGTGGCCGAATCATTACCCTTTTACTAAAAAATTCTAGGCCTTTGATTTAACGTACCTCACATTCCACGGTGGTCTACCTGAACTACACAAAGTGTCTTACTGGTTCAAAGAGCTCAAAAGTAACAGGAAAGAGGATAACTCAACGAACAATGTGGTTGATTACGTGGTCCATTGCAATGCGAATCCGAAAGGCAAATAAAGCAAGATGCCCGTCATTCAAGTGAATCAACTTGGTATTTAATTTATCAGAGTGCAATTGACTAAGGCAGTAGCTGTGCCAAGAGATAAAGCAAAACGATCAGATCTTGAAAATTTAAGAGAACAGTGAGCACCACGGAGGTGGTGTATCTGATGGCGCAGCCCAGAAACTTGTAGATACAAAGTCGGGTGCAAATGCCTGATAAATTGACCTTCATCGTGTCGAGCCGCGAGGCGCTTGTGTCATTTAGCAAAAAATATGAAGTTACCGGTCTTTGGTCCTCGTCATGTAGTTTAGGGAATGCCTGGTAATCCACACCGCGGTTGTTCGTACACGAACGAAAGTTTCGCAGTCAATTACTGCAAGCTGTCTTATTGGTCAGTTTTCGCAGCACAGTTGCTCAGTTCACTCAAAGTAAGCATTGCAGTGGAGGCAAAGAAAGTGGTTTACAACTCGCCCGCTTAACTAAATGGGATAAGTTGAATGGGATGAAGCAAATCCATTACGGGTAAGGCTTTGCAGACTTGAGCTGACATCATTACTTGAACAACGACACCAGCCAATGAGCTGTAATTTTGGGGATATTTTTTGTGCTGCCAGCATACATTCCCCTATGAGTCTTCTGTATAACATAGGTCTTGTGAATACTTACATTACTTACATTGAATAACTCAGCTTCTACTTGTGTCACTTCCCCTAAAGATGTAGGAACGCAAGCGTATTCACCTGATTCTAATTCAAACCTAATAAAAACTGGCTAGTAACCTCGGGCTTATGTGTCTCTTGAGGCCACGTCAACTTACATTTTCTTTTTCACCGAGATCCCAAAGTATACGTGTAATGGAAGCAGGAAAGTCAGGCAGTTCGATCGCATTGTTCATCAACTATAATAGAGACAACAGAAACGGGGTGTTTCGGGCTGCGTATGTATAAAACCCCTTAGGATGTTTCGAAAGGAACAAGAACTAACCAGACAAGGTAACTTTAAAATGAAATCCGAGAAGATAAACCATACTGCAGAGACCTCTACTACGTTGTACTTTCAAGTTCAGTTTCAAGAAAGAGTATTTTCATATCAGAAAATGACATCTCGGAAATAATTTTTTCCACGAAAACGAGGGGCTGTATTCATCATGCACAGATCAGCACCGCTCACAATTAGTTCAGCATAGTCCATAGTTGTCGCTCCTTACCTAAAAAGTTATATAGTGGACTTTCTCAATAAATAACACCTAATACTAACAGCCGTGTCGCTCATCTCTGGGGGGAAGGAATATGGTTACCACTAACAACACCCGAATCAGCCAGAAATATCGGAATGTCGAAGTTGAAACTTTATTTTTTCGTAGACACAGTCTCAGAGAGCACTCAAAACGTGTTTTTCAGCTCAAGTTCTTGCTTGTCAACTAAATTTCTTTTTATTTCCCCTGAATTTTTCATTGCCGCATCCCGTACATTGTTTGGTGAACGTTTACACCACAGGAGGAATTCTTTGTGCTGGAGTGGCATCAGTTAGGCTAGTTCATTTTGAAATACGCACAACCAAACGAAGCTTAAGACAGTTTCCACAAGCTTCATACATCTGGAAGTTTTTCATTCATCTGAGGAGGGAAAAATGGGCTACAAGACTCACGATATTGTTGCCTGGTTTCGCTTATAAAAGAGGCCAATTTCATTTGAAACGTTATATTAGAACGCTAATGGCGCCTGACCATGTCATACTGCTATTTCCTATCTTACTGCTCATGACAAGCTGCAGGTCTTCAGTCCATGACATAATCAGTGCCGGCTATTACTGCGCTTGTCTACACACACGTCCGGAATCTCTGAATGGGTCTTTGCACTACTAATGCAGGTTGCGACTGTATTTAAAGCTGGAAACCTGGATTGTGTTGGCCGCCATCCGTTACATCCAGAATTTGTCTTCGGAAACCAAGCTAAAGGCAGCTGAGTAACAAAGCGCCTATCATGTTTCAGATGCCAAAAAAGCAAATATACCAAGGGACACCCTACAAAACGATTACGCCAGCTGGATGAGGCGGTGTGGCCGTATATTTAACGTCGCACACCTTCATCTAACAGTAGCGATCTACCCGGATTTCAAACAAAGTATGAGCGACTAGCTAGCTCGCAATGTGCCCTATGCACACCTAATTATCTGCTTGCTTCCGAGTGGCTTGTTTGACCGGTCGGGTGACTAGAAAGTTATTAAATATCTGAAAGGGCTGCGAAACCCAATAACTGTTCGCTGTGGGAAAATCTGGCAGCTATAGGTCACTAAGTACTTACTGCCGCTGCACTTAATAATATCTGCGTGATTGGTCACCACAGAGGTTGTGACTACCAGGAATGAGATACCTATGTTGCGAATTCGAGGACGTTTGATGCCAGAGCTCTGTTTACAACAGGGTTTAAGCAATTCCACCTCAATATTATTAAGATACTACGAGTAGACCAGCCAAGCTGAGCAAGCCTGACTATCGACCGGACCCGGACAATCTAAATCTCCACTATGTCGTTCGTCGGTCTACTGACTCATAAGTGACCCATTTTGATTACGCGAATATCAGTGTGTTTACTGGATTCAAATCCTTTTTGCTTATAAAAGAGAATCGTCAACCCACTTGTGAATACAGCTCGGTTGATTTTGTATTCAGATAATGAATTTAGCTCCGCATCAATGAGGGTCGGTCGCCGTTGGCCCATCACCCAGGATCAACTCAATACTACGATTATATAGCCCTTGGTATAACATGTCAAAAGCCCGAAAGCTCGTCGCTTAACCTAGCATGGAGAATATTGAACAAAAATAGTCTCTCCAAACGGACCAAAGAAACTGGTGCATTTTCAGGTCAAAATAGCCTCATTATTATAAACAAAAACATATGACATAGAGATGAATGGGCTATTTTCCACAGGAATCCGTTTCCAATGGCTTCTTGAAACCTATTCCAAGATACACGCCTTATGAATAGACATACTTCAAAGGCCGGCAAAAAGCGATCTACTCTGAAAGGGCATTTTGTACTGGAATATGCTTCGAGGGACCCACCAAAGGGTGTCTCTTACTGAGCTTGAGATGGTTGAGTGAGTAACACTCAAAACTACTGACTGCCGTGGTAGAACCCAACACGGGCATCTCAGATACACCTGTGTAGACTTGAAACAACTGACCAACAACTGTATCATAAAGAAATGCAGGACAACTCGGTGCACAGTTTTTGCATCCAGGCATTTGTTGAGAAGGGCATTCGAGTTTCTGGGCACCTTGTTGGTCTTTGTGTGGATTTTGGTGACCGGTCTCCCAAAAGGTAATAAATCCGAGCCGAATTCTATGAGAGCTTTCGAAGTGGTCAAGGTGTGAGGTATTCCCTGCTGAAATGTTATCTTGGGTCACTTTGACAAGGTAAGCTTGCAGTAACATGTATTGTTTTTCGAATGAAAATTTTTGTAAATATTACACCAAAAGCACAAACACAAAAACACACACTAGCGTGCCTGAAACTTACTGGGTTATAAATGAACGCACCGCCAACATCGTCGATGACAGCTACTCGTGTACTGCTGGGTGAGGTAAAGAGGGAAACGATCGAACGAGAATGATGAAACTCGTCCAGGTGGACCCAGTCGTCGAGATGAAAGTAGAATAGGTGACCCGTCTAAAAATAGGGGATAGAAAATGAACGCTAGGTGGTGATCACCGCGATCACGAAACCGGATATCGCTAAATACACACAAATCACGGTGGCATAGTAGAATTTTTCGCTTGATTAAGCATAGAGATAGATAAGTTGAAATCAACATTTTACCAGCAGACTCCGTCTAGATTTCTCAATAATAGTTAAAAGTGTGGAAAAAATGCGAAGTGATTTAGTTAGTTATTTTGTTTTGCAAAGATGTGCTCAGTGTCTAAGACCATGGACTTGACTTGTCCACTTATCGCGGAGTGATACTTTTGATTTTTGATGCACCACATAAGGCCAGGACAGTGAAACTCATTTATCTGCTAGCCCGATTCCATCTTCTTTGGCAGTTCGTTGGAGGTCATAAACAATAGCAGAGCACGGTTCACTAAACCAATCAATCTTTTCTGATTTCTCATATCTAACGGTACTTTTCCCGAACAGGTTTAGCATAAACACTTCTCTTCTGACAAAAGGGTATGTTGTTAAAGTGTGCAAAGTGCTGAGATCAGTTTTAACCAAGTATCGTGCAATTTGGGAAAAACAGACGAAAGATCATTTCACTTTTACCGAGGTTCTTTAAGAAAATCAGTAAAATGCAAAGAGATTCCCGTGACAATACGTAAGCGTTCATAGGCTCATACACTCTCTGTAATAGTCCACGTTAAGTGAAGCAAACCGCTAGAGTAAGAAAAGGATTAGTAACTCACGCTTGTACCATAAATCAGAAAGTTCTCCGTCAACTGAAAGGCAGTAACCATACCAACTTCCAGTTTTGGGTCGGGAAATATGCACTGCTTCTTTGCGAACTCGTCGTTTCCGCTTTCAGTCAGAAGATACTTTTGAGATTCCTCCTTGTTTTTAGTACTTTCTTTCGTTGGGAACAACTTGGGGTCAATCTGCCGAAACAGACAAATAATCTACGGTAACTTGTAACAAACCGCACAATCAGATATATCTAAGATATCTACTTTGGAATATGGACGTGTTCTCAGTTTCACTAATATTAACGGAACAAAAGTGCCTAAAATCCTTTCAGGCCTGGCGCAAATTCTATTGTGCGTAAAACATTCTACAAGCACAGAGACTACAGTGTTGATTGCGAGATCACCTTCGTGATTATACCGCCTGCCTTATTGGGTGTTTTGTAGAAGTCCATCCAAGGGTAGTCATAAGTTTCCTTGCACCAGCTGTGCGTATATCCATAAAGGTCCATAAAGGTCATGAGGATCCTACTGTGGAATAAGCTGATAATTTTTCCACCAGGAATAACGGGAACGGTGGATACCTTCGGAACTCAGAAGTTTCACCTGGTGCTAAACGCCAACAAGCTCACAAAATGGAGGATTCGTGTCATGTTATTTTTAAACTAGCGAATAATAAACACTGTAAGGATGAAAAATAAAACATTCTTCAGATAAGTCGTAATTCGGGGAGCTGGTCAACATGTGACCATCTAATGTGGATGCATTGATTGGAAAACGAGTGACTCTATACCCTGTGCAAGCTATAGTTGATCACTCTGGTGTTCAGTCGCACGTATCGTGAGGTCATGGATACTAAACCGCCAAGTCTTCTGAGCTGTGCACTTTTGAGTATTACCAAATAGGATGAAGTTGCTGTACAGTGGTTTTCGGAATTTCAGCATAGATTGGCTTTACCTAGAGGTCGAAATGTATTGGTGATCATACCAAGTCTTCGTAGCAACAACTGACTAAAGACTACTCACAATGCGAAATCGTCTGTTTAGTGCACCCAGTAAGCAAAAGCAGTTTTACGCAGGCTACGTGAAAGGTGTTGAGTTCGTCTGCAAGTGCGTGATTCTTCTCTGGGCTTTGTCACGGGGAGATAGTGATGTCTGTCTAGTTAGAAGTTGCTTGCTTGGAAACCCAGGTAGGTTAATGAAAACAAACCAAGTGTCGTGTTGATCGCGCACAAATGCTATGAAAAGCAAACAGTTATCAATCGTCCGCTTAATATCCAACTCCATTTGAAACTCGCTTTACTCCCTCTGTCTTCATCCACTACATCGAGGAGGGTGGAGCCGTGATATTGGTCTGACATCCAGTTTTTCACGTCTACTAGGAGGTCACAGCCGATGATAATGCACGTTGTCTATTTAGTTATTTTGTTTGAAGATGCAAACATCACTCGGATTATAATCCTATTTCCTGATTATGGAGGGTATTTCTATGAACAAGGAAGGATATTACAGTATCCATGTTGCAGGAACGTTTCTTCAAGGGAAATCACAACTACTGTTGGGTTAACTCATGGAGGAATGCGGTGTGTTGGATTTCGTAGACTTTCTTGTATTAGCCAACTAAGTAAGTTCTTAAGGCTGAAAGAGATTCATAAAATCGAAAATTGGATTTGGACTACGATATACCTTTTACGGAGCTTCTTACAGATTTGAACTCATTATCCAGGTTACCTGAACTTTAGAGTAACACACATCAACAAATCGGATTAACACAACTTTCACTTACCCAATGGAGCGTGAGTCTTCCGCTTGGGCCACAGGCAGCTGCATAATTTTCACTGAGGTAAATTGAGTTGATTTCGTCCAGGTAATCATATTCAGATACTGCTTCAATACCTGGATAATATACATAGCGAAGTAGGAGTTGTATATTCAAAATGGGCCTAACTGCACCACAGCACGTTTATGTACCCAAAGTTTGTGTAACCGATCTACATAATCTCGTAACTAACAAATCCACCATTATTTTCTTGCGACCCATCTCCCGAAAGGACATTTAACTGATAATCACCGGCCATGTGATCTAAAGGAAATTGGAGCGCATAGTAAGGAATTTCTGTCTGTTGTGATTACAATGAAATCCAACCGCAAAACGCTCAGAAAACTCTCCTGATTGTGTCAGCTTTTGCCGAAATGACTTATTATTCGGGTGGTCCATCAGCGAATACAGTGTCCACCACAAACTCATTTTGAATCCAGATTACGTGTGAGGGTCCAGTTCATTCATTCAACTGTTGCGCACTGCCCAAAAACGTAGAATGAAATTTATCACGGCCAAAATATATCTGCAGCTTATGATGCTCTCAGATGGTGAAAAGCCTTCAGAACACCAGATTTTATCAGATATTTCAAAAGGTTCTCATCTTGTCCACACGTCTTGATTGCTGCTTTGCAAAAGTCCCTTCATTGTTATTGTTGTCATTGAAGCTGTGCACAGAATTTCTATTTTTCTGTTGTCCCTCGTCCTCGGAAAGGTTAGATGCACAGCTAATTTAAACATGATGAAAGAATACCTAAGCTTTGGACCCACTTACCAGTCATTACATTCAGACCGCAATCTGTCCAAGAAATAAGACAGCCTATGCAAAATTACTCAAAACACAGCTTAGACAGATAACGAAACAAAAGTATACAGTTTAGGGCTGAAGATGATTACGATCCTGGAGATATTTAATCAAACTTAACGTTATCCAAGCTGTGGGTAGTAGTTACAAAGTGCTTGATGGCGCTAAAGCTAGTAATCCATCACATCTTTTTCAATTCGTACACTTCACTTTGAGCAGTAAGTGTGTTCCCAGGAAAAAGGGACGAATAATACTTAATTGCACTCCATAGCGGTAGCGCAAGAAGCAAACAGGTGAATACTGATGAGCAAAACAAGATGGGGGAATGAGGGACAAATAAATGGGCCTCAACTGCAACGATTTTAAAGAGCAAGAACTATACAGTCAAATGGTAAGACTAGCAGACCTATCACAGAATCCATTGATCAGGCAAGATAACTTCAGGCTGCACATTGATCTCAGTCATAAGTTAATAAAGCCATGTAAATTCCTTTCACGTCCGACCGGATCGGACTATTTGAATTTATGTTAGAGTTCCCTCAAAATACCGATGTTTCCATCCTCGGTTCTCCTTGATTCACCATTAGACTGTTCCTCGTTTTATTGGTGAAGACGCCGTGTGTACCAGGGTTATAAGATGGACGGCGCATTTGAACCTTTTTGCCTTTTGCAAATTGACTCGTTGGGTCTCTGTGAGTAAACTTGAATTAAACTTATACACAGCAGCGTGTAGATCCAGCAGACTGTGGTAGTAAAAACATTAGATGCACATAGGCTGTGGTCTGTTTGTCTCCATAAATACACCCAACCCAAATAGGCGTTATGCGGGCGAAAATCTCGGCACACCACTTGATTTAGTCTTATGTGCGGAATCAGTAGTTGAAATGAATCCCGATGATGAGCATATTAGCACATCGAATGCTTTTTTAACTTACCGGTTTCCGTCAGTTCATAAAACCATGCATGATTGTTCATCCCCACTGCTAGGTGTTTTGGTCCCAATCCAATAAATGTTGGTTCCATCTCAACCTTAACTGTTTGAGGAGTTTGGTAGAAGGCTGATACCGACTGCATCTGACAATAAAAATAACAAAATCATGAGACTGGCTTGACTATCTGGCAGATAAATACCTTTTGCACAGATGCTGCAATTATCCACGTCCGGTAAAATATTGAAATCAACATTGTCCGAAATTTGAACGTGATTAGGAAATGTTCCAGCTGAACCAGGTGACATTCAGTCCCTATTCTTATGCTGTTTCCCACATTCTTTTCAAGAACAAGAGGAAGTGACTCACCATAGAGTAGAAGTCTTGGTTAGAGAAAGCCACCGATGCAAGCGCAAGATGGTGTACCACAAACATATTCTGTATCTCCCCAAAAGCGCCAGGATAAGACTATTTACAAACTTGTTGTGTCACAAAGGGCCTTCAAGGGCCATTGAGTCAATTGTTTTGGTCGTAGTCCTTGTGAGCATATAAACGCATACGTCGGATGCAGTATGTTATGAATCTGTTTTTCATAACACAATTATATCTTCTAATAGTTCGTTTGCTCTGAATAAGTTCGGATGAAACTGACTCATGTAAATTTATATCTGACTCACTTTTTAAAACCTCCATCCAGTGACTCGTACACTGTGCATTTATTGCAAACCGGCAAATGAGACGACACAGTCAAGCTGAGGATAAGCCCACATTGATCTTATTCTGCTTTCACGCTTGTGCAGTGAGTTCCGCTCACTGGCAAATCTTGGGGAGTGACGCTTCAAAATGTGATATCGGCTAGTCCTTAATGGATGGATTTTGTTTTCCTGAAGGTAGTATCGTACCGCGTTTTCTGAAAAAGAACCTGAAGTGTGGTCTAATAAAAAATTCAGTGATTTCAAAGTTTGGTTCTTGACTGTGAAATCCATCTTTAATATTCTCTTCTCAAAGTACTTCATTTCTTGAGTTCTTAAATTCCCATTTACTGGTAAATGTCCCAGCTGGAAACAGGTGGTGCCTGTGGGCATTGTGTGCACAAGCAAACTACAGCGAGCGAGCGACTCTAATGTCACCATTCCGCACTGTTTATCAAAATGGTTCTGATGAGCTCCCATTTTTGTTGCTCTTCGTTAAAAACATTTTGGTTCTAGACCATATCGCCAGGCATTGTAATTGTCCCGGTAACCGACGACGCCGAGTTTGCTTAGGTCATGCGGCTTTTGACAGATCACTGAGGAAACCAGTTTTCCCACTACTTCATTAATCTTTGACTATCAAAGCAATAGTTTCTACCACATTTCCTGTGTTTTGAGTACATTATTTTAGTACTCATTTGCACTCACCAAGAGATGGCTAGATAGTAGTGGAAAAGAGACCTGATAGCTGCCACTTTTAACTGACTATTACTGTGCTGTCAGGTGTATTCAAAGAGGTGATCAGACAGAGAAGGCAATTAGACGACTGCACCGAATTAGTAGTGTTTTTTTTACAAAAGCCCAATGTTTCCTAAAACTAAAGTATCTACTGCCACGAATGACGATTTTCGAACATTATTTTTAAAAAAGCGGTCCACTTTGGAAAACTCATCCTCTGGGGAATGTTGAATAATGAGCTATTTCCCATCCATTCACTTCACAGCTAGAAAATTCTCACGTTAGAGGCCGAAAATATCCAGTAAACATGGATATCTATCGTGGTGCCCCTTGAATCGATTCTGAGCTCGAAACGGCTCAATGGTTAGGCGTGAACTTATTGGCCAGAAAATCTGTGGTTCGAACCCAACCTTGGCATTTCGATTGCTTCTGTCTAGGGTTGAGTAGTCTGGCTGTATCTCAGCCCTCGTGCTTACATCGGGTGGCATAGCAGCTAGGCACCGGAAAGTGTTACAGCTGGGAGTTATTATTAGATTCTGAGCTCGAAACGGCTCAATGGTTAGGCGTGAACTTATTGGCCAGAAAATCTGTGGTTCGAACCCAACCTTGGCATTTCGATTGCTTCTGTCTAGGGTTGAGTAGTCTGGCTGTATCTCAGCCCTCGTGCTTACATCGGGTGGCATAGCAGCTAGGCACCGGAAAGTGTTACAGCTGGGAAGTTATTATTACTATTCAGATTCATTTAGGACAGATTACCATTTCCAGCTACTTTTTCTGTTTATCTTCAATAAGATCCCTTTAGCTTCTCTATACTTCGTGATACGACCACCATGCCAGCAATCAGTACAAATGGTACAAATGGTCAACCGCCTGCAAATCGTATTTGATCTGCCCATCTCCTTCCTGCATAAAACCATTCTGTTGATCGTCAAGCAATCGCTGCCACGGGCAGATAATATAGGTCATTATCGGCGAAGTGCTACAGTGTCAGAACAGGATAAACATCAACAATGTGGAAGTGTATAGATTTACCTGATCACTCAGATTATTGAACGGGAGCGGTTCTATCGTAACTTCAAGAAGCGAGGTCAATCGCGCCGTTAGGTTGGTTGTCCTCGGGGTAGCTGTGGCAGCTAACGTGGGAAGTTGACTGAGAAACACATGAAGGAGCTGTTTGGATGTAGATACAGCCATAAGCTGACCATCTTCTGACCACTGTAGCTGACAAGGTGCACGGTTGTCCCGGAGTACTGTTGTACCCGTCCTCTGTGTTTCATTATTATGTCCATCCTCCTCCAGTTCAATGATGGCTAATAATTCCCGAACGTTAACCAGATCATGTATCTTAACACTGAAAGGAAATCAAATCTTCGCTACAATTGTGGCGGTTGAAGGTAAAACAAACTAGTGAAAAGTCTCGTTTATTTTCTCTGACGTTTTACACTACTTCCATCAACCAAGTAGTGCAGCTGGAAAATAATATTTTAGAAGCTTCACATCGCTTACGACTGTGGGAAAGGTGGGAGACAAAAGAAATTCAAAATTATTGTTTACCCGACTATCGCAATTATATTTCTACGGAATCTGAGTTGGGTATAAAGGAAACTCACACACTAAAGCTCTAACCGGATTATCATCACATACTCGGAAACGTTACATTGGTTGGAATAATTACGACGCTTAGATGAGAATGAAAGCCTAATTCTCGTAGTCCTAAGTTAGATGTTTTCACGGTAAGCCATCATCCACTACAGAGGGCTACAACCATTGGCCCTATATCTTTATGTTTGAGTTGGTGAGTATTCGGGATCGGGATAGCTCGGTGAGAGCCTGCTGACCAGAAGGTCAGCGGTTCGAACCCGACATTTACCTCTCGACTTCCCCTGTCTAAGCTTAGGCAACCTGGTCGTGTCCCGGCCCTCGTGCTTCCTTCTGATGGCGTGGCAGCTAGGCACCGAAAGGGTGCTACAGTTGAACGATTTTTTTGATGAGTCGTCTTCTCTTGAAGCTGTCCTCCCAGATAAGGACAACTGATGAGCAGTCCTTCGGCAACACAGGCAAATATGTTGTTAATTTATTAGCCTGTCTAACTTCCGTGGATCTTTTAAGGGATTGTAAAGTTTTTCTTCATCGATCTAACGTGAATCGCACTTCAAACATAAGTGATTTAAACGAAAGTGCTTTCGGCCGCAAACTCATGACGCCTAATTTTAGCTATGGCGGGCCAACGCTATTCCGTGTGTGTGCAGTCGGTTACTCACGATGGACCTATGATAAGATTCTAGGAAGTTTTACTGGCGTTTTGACCATCGCCGACCATAAACCCCGCGATACTACTATTGATCTGTAAGCTGTTGCACAAACGTACACATAGTTGAGGGTTTGTGTCCCTAACAGGCCGAAGTGGTGTAGCATATTGTCAGCAAACGTAAAGTTCCACGACATTTTGTCCCCCGCAAATCAGGTGGACGATGGGTTACTCATGGGCTGATCCCTATTCTAACACATTTATTCAATTCCCAATTCGGTTTTCACGCACTTAAGATGGCAGTGCAATTTTTGCACACCAGTAGCACCCAACACACGGTCTTTGAGAACAATTACAAAACTATCAAGTGTATCGATTTTAATAGCGCAACGTAATTACAAGAAGTAATCAACAATGATAGTACTTACCAGTGATCACCAGCGGTGGCACATCGATTCAGCGTAAGAGAGAGAGCGACATCACAAAGGCCTTCCTTATGGTCACGAACCTGATAGATTTCCTAGTTAAACAAGATATTCATCTATGTGATGATTTGCAGAAACCCACTTTACCCAGCTCAGATTTCTGTGTAGAAACAACAATGAAATATCCAGCGGAAAATCCCACCATAATGTAACCATCACCGAACCAGTGATACGAAACAAGATCACCATACCGCTGCTGAAATGCCAACTCGATGGGGTTGTCCATATCCTCCGTATTAAGAATCAAGAGATTCTTGCGTCCCACCACACAGCTGACCTGTTTGAAGCAAAAAAATACATGCCGAGTAGTATACCTCTGTATATTTTATTCGTTCACCTGGTCAAGAACCACTGTTTCATCGAAACCAATGGTAACTATCGTATATTATAAAAATACCAACAGAAAAGCTGAATTCCATGAAACCTACCCAGAGGATTTATAACAAGCAGGCCACTGAACTTCTACCCTTTATAATGGCTTTTAATGAAAGTCGGGTGCAAAGTGCGGACAGCGGAGACAACTACCGACGAGTGTACAATAACATATCGCCATATCCCTTTAATTGAAAACTTATATAACAGCCAAGAAACTGAAGCGTCGGCATAACTGTTGCGACCAGATATTCCTGTATGCAGCAGAAGATTTGTTTTGCACCAGAACCTCATAACTGGGAACTTCGAACTCCCGTTGCGGCTAGTTCCGTAATATCTTGTGTGCCCGGTAACTGTAATTGTGTGCTTGAAGTTCTGGTTTGCAGTATGCGAAACTATTCAGAGATGTGACTGCTGCAAATCTTAAAGAAGTTAATAAGAAATTACTAGTACCGAAATTTGTGGGAAGGCAAAACTTGGGTTTTCTGTTAATTACTTAAGAGTTAGGTTAGTGCGACTTGGAGACGAAGCGCCGCCGCAAGCATCATGTTCAACAGTGGTCCATGTTTTGGGAAGTAAATATGCTATTCAAGGTTCAGAGTGACCGGTTGTGTGAATGAAAGGTCGAGGTTTGTCTCTCCACTACGGAGACTACTCTTTGCACTCATATGGACTGAGCTACTTTAAGTTCCGCTAGCTACTGCATATTCCAAAGAATGTGCTAGGTATATGCGGTGCAGTAGTGTATTACTAACTAGTTATTCATAGTTTGCTTAGATGCAGGTGACAAGTATGATTCTGTTGTTCAAGAGATATCAGGGACAGATATTGTACTTCGCGAAGACATGATGGCTACAATCATTATACAAGGCGCTTGGTAAACGGCAGTAATTGAACTGTGGGTAATTTAGCCAGGTAGCAGGTAGGACATATAGGGTTTGATCAAACAAAGCTCAACAGTTTGTTTAGTCACATTGTTTCCTCTCGGTTTTGTGTAGCATAACTTTTGCAGACCTAGGAGGGGAAAACAGTGCTTGTCACTCCATCACAGGCTTCAGGAATTTCAACAGTTTCTTTCTCGATCCAACCAATAATAGTTTCCGAGAACTTTTCGAGGGCCAGCTGCCTGGCTGTCAGATCAAATAAGTCTAAGTTAGCATTGTTTCTTCTACGGCGAAAAGTACCCCAAGGCATGGAACTTTGGCGCCTATTCTGTACTTCAAAAGAATACCCCCGAACACCCAACTCACTAGGCGTATTTCCCGTGGTTGCGTGATAATTGTTTAAGCCAAACTTTTCAAAGACTCCGTTTGAAACCAACTATAAATTTACAATAAGCAAAGCACGTGGCCAATTACCACTCGCCATAAAAAATGGGATGTAATCACAATGGCATTCGTGTGAGCCAGTAGCAATTAGCTGGGCGCAGCAGCATAGACAGAGGAATGTTTAAATCTTTAAACGTGAAACAGCTCATGTAAGCGGTGATAGTGAACTAGCTGTCTGGACGTCTGACGCGACTGCAATTCAGTTTTACAGGAGAGGGGGATCTGAAAGCAATAAAGAGGAAGATGAAGGCAGCAATAGTTGCGACTTCATTTTCACATCGAAAACCATGACCAGGTCAATCTAGTAATAATGTAACCACACTTATGCAGTTCGTGGTTGCATATGAAGCTAGGTACTATAGTAGCATCCAAACCAAGAAAGGCCAACATTCGAGATCTGAAGCGGAAGCTTTTGGTTCAAAAGCCCAACCGCGGGGCAACATAAGTTCGCATGAGATTTTGCAAAGTAACGTTATTTCTATGAACATTGTTAATGTACTTGTTTCGATTCCAATCCTGATTTTATGGAACCACCTATAGCACTTGTAAACTGCTCTTCTTCAAGCACAGTATCATTTCCTTTTCCCTATCAATATCAGTCACATCACTGTACAAAAGTTTTTTTTACTGAAACACAACCTCAACCACCCGTTTTTCGAGTGCCACGGGACTTTTTGCTGGGTGACTGTTGTTGTGACCGCCGGTTGGCTATGATTGACTGCCACTAACTCTAAACGTGAACGAACATTTTAGCTACAAACACTGAACTAATATATTCACACTTATGGATTAATATTGCGATCACCGGAGATTTGAAACACCAGGAAGATAGAACTTTTTGGTGTGCTGGTTCAACAGAATACAGGACTACGGAATCTCCTATTTTGAACTGTGAGTTGAGATTTACTTGAGTTTTCTACTTGTGACTTTGTATCTGGCTTACATTAGTAATTTGTTCTGTTCTCTAGAGACTGCATAGGGCCATTAACCACTACACATCAATTAACCACATCAACTAACCTGGTAGAAAAAAATAGGCGGGGCGCCCAACTAGCCTTCTGAGGTGTGCAGACTACCACATCATGATATGATCTAGTCATTCTGCAATATTTATGGTCTAGCGGAGTAGACAATCAGCCTGTGCACCTTAATTTGTGGCGCAGCGCTGTCAAAATCTCTTTGTAATATTCAGTTATTCTTTAAGCTTCCATTTTTCTACGGTTTGACGTCGTTAGCAAACAGCAAACAAGACGAATCAGTATAATAGGCAATGAAAATCCGCAGTTTTCGAACCGAAACCATTGTTATGCCGTTCATTCTGCTCTTTCTGCCCGTGAGCGTAACCCGACCACCGTGCCAATTTGATCCTGTTTGTACGTGGTATTCAGCTCATCTTGCGCTTGAAGGTGATTCCAATGACAGGCCTTCACTGTGGTAGCTGTTTTAGGGAAACCAAATCTTCCAAGTTGTCTATTTTACCCAAACTCCCAACGTTTTTGACATGCAGCCTGTCAGGCTGGTGCGATTATGATTCGGCAAGGCTGTCATCATCAATACGGTTAGCTCAAGTAATGCTAACATTAGACCAGCAGTCGTGTTCAAAGAGCACAACGTTTATGATCACCGGGTGGCATTCGCAGATTCAATTATAGTACCATTATCTGAAGGGAATTCTACTATCAAGAACACGTGTGTTCATCTCGTGGTCATTCCATGCTATAAAGCCTTTCATGAGAGAGAAGAATCAACCACCGTACCAAGAGGTTATTGGTCTATACGGGACTATTCCCGATTAGTTCTTTAGTTTGTGTACAACAAGCTGCAATATGAGCCTTCGTGAGATGGAGTCGCTTGACTGATATCCAAAAACTCATTTCAATAAAGAATCGTTTTCCCCGAAAACAGGAAAACAAATGTGGAATTAGAAACACTAAGTGCACTGAATTAACACGCACCGTATTGTCCCGAGCCTTGGTGGAAGCATCGTGCATTCCGTCAGCGAATTTTATCATTGAAGGCAAGTCACGAACACTGCATTGCTTCAAAAGATCACCGTCAGACGAATTTATGGTGATGGTTTTATCGTCCCCAGCCAGAGCTAAAATATTGTTTCCATTCCAGGCAGCGGAATTTATTCTTCTAGTGTGCTTTCCGAGTAGTGATATTTTCCTGAAAGGTCACTCACTGCATGCAATTTTCTTACTTTGCAGAGTTTTGGCTGTAAATTACGAGGTTACCCTTTTCAGATCCAATTGCCAAACTACCACCTGTTCTGGACCAACATATAGCACTCAAATGGTCTCTGAAGGTATCAGATTACAATAAAATGCGCTTCTTACTTTATTCCTGTGGTCACCTGGCTGATTTTGTAAGATAAGGAGTCCCATATTGTTACTGATGAGGTCTTATCTTCAATGATAGCCAGATTATCTCCATCAGGATCCCACACAAAGTCAGTAGCTTCACTAAACGAAAGACGTAAAAAGCGGCGATTTGCTACCCTGGCAAAGGAATTTCGAATTTTCTTTCTCCATGACGGTCGAAAATGTTTATTGTTTGTTCCTTTCTAAAAAAAGAAATTTATTTCCTGATACAACAAACCCGCAGGCTGCAACGTAACTGGATTTTGAATTCTGAAGTCTGAAAGGAGCCCGATTGTTTTTCAATGCCCCCAAGTCTGTGGTAAATAGTTTCTGAGTCATGTAATTGGACAGAATGTAATCATTTACGAACCTTCATTTGAGCGTCCTTGAGAGTTCTTTGAATTTTGTACAAGTTCTAGCGTCCTTAGAACCTAGTTGATTCAAACAAAGTTTTAGGTATGATGACACGAGGTAGAGACATCAGGGTTTTCTGAAGCATATAGGAATGTATGGTTTTTATGTTCTAACAATCTTTCGAGAGTTACTCAAAAGATCAAGCATAGTTTGAACTCAATATCTGTTTCGGAGACCTTGTTAATTCTGCGTTTGATTGGTTGCATCATAGTCACTTGCGGCCGCATTGAGATCACGCTGCTCTTCAACGCTTGTCAGTCGAACTGGTACCCAGGCTATCAGCAACGATCAGTCAATCTATAAATTATCCTTCAGACGGTCAGACAGCTTTTTAGACACCCACCCACCCAGTCATCCAATCAAACAGCCAGTCAAGTGCTAAAGCATTCCGACGGCCACTAGTCATTCGACAAGTCTGAGGAGTTGGCCTCACTCTGGGAGTGAAATCGTGCATGGAATCGTACGTGTTCATACATGATTAGAAAAGATACTGGGAATTCGGGTATTTGCTGTATCCTTCCGGTATTTCTCATAACTTTACGAAGTTTATGGCGACGACATGTGAGTTTCAGCCTTCTGTTGACGTTTCTCATGGTTACGTTTACTTGTTAATTTGGATTCATAAATTACGTCTCGTGACTCAAGGATCTGGAATATAGCCGGTCCCAGTTATCATTCATTAGAGGGAGTTTTTAGTTTCTACCGAGCAGTCACCTTGTAATGAGAATGTTGAAAGGCATTCCACATGGCTCATCAGTAGTCGACCGATTTTAGTTGAAATAAAATTTGAAGCTTAGTGTCACTCGCCTATCGGCTATTGCGGAAAACTTAAACAAACATAGTACAGTCAGCCTGCTTGATGGATACCGAGAGAATGACATAGAAATTGAACCCTCTATTCTTTGGCCATGGGATGGGCATGACTGACTGGGAAACTGCTAAAAATAACGGCAGGATATAAACGCTCGCTTAAGCAGGTGATCCACAGGCAATCTTGAAGGGCAGTAGCATAAAACACAACCACCACGTTAAACTTTCAGTGAAATTGAAGCGCTATAATGAATTCAGTGCTTAACACTCAGTACATACTCCACTGCTCACCGATTATTGCTCAGTAGTTGTAGGTATGCGCATAACTCTTCGTGTGACGTAAGCTATGTGTGGAAGGAGTATTTCACACATGTCTTGTGATACCATAGATTTTTTGGTATTGTCAACTCTGTTCTTACCATTTTGCAAAAGCCAATCCGTGTCATCGCAATCAAAGCTCGTGGTAAATAGACGCCGCTTTTGCACATGAATTGAAATAAGTCCAGTATTTGAAAAATTTGTTTGGTTTTGGAATATTCTCGCAAACCGTAGCGTAAATGCCCGTTCAGTGCAGATTACGACTAATGGAACACGGCATGCGTCAGCAAACCTCGTCAATCACTGAACACCATGACCGATCAAGATAAGCGAGCACGGTGGAGAACGAACCTGGGCTTCGACTAACCTGGAATTTCGCCAGACTGCGTGATTTTTGGGCTTGATCCATGCAGGTCGCTGAAGTTATCGCGATTAAAGACAATCCAAACGTTTGTTGTTATTGAAGAGGGTTTGCGGCTAATTTATAAATATCCATTTGGGTGATTTAAAATACACCCTGGTAGTTAAATAAGTCAGGTATATGTGTTCAATTTTCATCGAATTTATCTTTCAAAAAATGCTCTTGTACAAGGGGAACAATGCGGGAGCAATATAGAAACAAAAAATTGCAAAGAACGGTCTGACAAAATGTACGTGCAACACTACTGCTTGCCGCCTGAAAAACTAAAAGGATTGATCTCCTCATTATTGTCCGTTTCAACTGAGTCTTCGCACACGTTATCTAAGGCGGAGATTCCGCGTATTAAAAAGGGTGTTTATTAGCGATACGATGAATTAAGCATCTCTGAATTTTCGTGGGGTTGTGGATATTCCTTCAATTACGGATTTTTTACGTGCTCTAAGTTGTTCCACCCGTGCTATCTTCCTGAAATGGCTTTTACATTGTATTCATACGTCATCACTGAACGGAAACCCTGGAACCCTTGTACAAGACATTTGGGCTCATGCATAAAAAGCATGCTCCTCAACATCTATATCAGGCATAATACTGCTTATAAATGCATCAACATATTGCCAGCCTCAATCCAATTACACACAAGCTGTCTGCAATAGACTGGCCCGAAGATAGTCAAAAATTTCGGTTGAATGTGGACACCTATTGACTTGGTCACCACTTCATAAATATCCCTGTCTCCAGCTTCGCGCATCAAAATCCATGACCCCGTATCAAACTCCGTTTTGTCCATTCACTTCAACTTGACCCCTAATTGTTAAATGGCTTCCGAACCGCGGAAAGCATTAGATTGATTAAAAATCTAAGAATACCAATATGCAGACATTTTTGCTTAAAGTTTAACATCCCCGCAACCAGCAGCGTCATACGCTTGCCTACTTAGTTCGAAAACTGCCGGAACAACTCTTGCGTTGGCATACGTGTCACTGGGGCCTACTCCAGCGAAGTGTTATTCTTAAAATTGTAGAAGGCAATTGCCAGACATTGTGCCATTTTTACCTGCACGCAACAAAAAAGTAAATGTTTGCAGCCTTGCGAAATGCACTCAGTCGGAAACAATTTTTATTCAAATGGAGTCACTTAAATTCAAATTGAACGAGTCGTTTGCGAAATCCCTCAGCTGAATGAACAACACAAAGATCGTCCGATATTCAAATCAAGGTTCATTCCAAATCACGATTTCCTTGCAATTTGGTTTCAACTAAATCATATGGTTGACGAATATTCGAAATCGACGTCTGTCTTCTGAGCCAGAAGGACAGTGAAGGTATTGGTGTACCGTTAAAAATTTTCAGAGTATTGTATTGTTAAAAATATCTGACACTTCTCTTAGTTCTCAGAAAACCCTGGTGCAGAAAATTGTAGCGCGACATGACGTGCGTTTGAGTAGTATTAGGGCGAAATTTCCAGTTGACGTCAATAGTGTAGATATATGAAAATGAAAATAATTGAAACATTCCTTTGATCAAGTATTAGGAAAAATTGTTGTTCTTCCACGGGGGAGAGACCGACTAATGCCGCTCATCTGATTAAACCATATATCTGGCAAAACGGAAATTTTCGGGAACCAATTTGGGACATTAAAGACAGACACGTCCCACATAGTGAACGAATGAAATGCCGGAGAAAGCCAAAAACAGGGTTCTCGAAAGCCAATGCTTTCAAGTTCCGCATGGTTTTTGCTATATTCATTATATCCAAACTTTCAGCAGTTAATTTGCGGACTGGCTCAATCGAAACCTTCAGCCAGAAGGGAAGCGACCGTTGCCTTAACCCTTACGTGGGTAAGGCATTTGACTTGATCGTTTGCTCCATCCCAAGTCACTGCAGCCATCCTTCCCATGAAGCTCAACTCAATTTTTCATGGAACAGAAATCGGATCAACGAAATACTCAGAAAACTGAAAGCACAATGTGAAACTGCTGACCGAAATCTACAGAGGATACTGATGAATGATGGCAACATTGTACAATCCTATTGATGACTGAAGTACCTCGGACGAAAACAGCATACATGATTTTTGGATACGGTTTGCGCTCATCGGTCAACGTCAACCATAGACCACTGTTACAACCTCTTTCGTCTGAACACTATGATTAGTGCGTCTATCCAAGACCGAGACCGCAGAGCACCGTATTCAACCGCGGTCTTATTAGGATTTATCAGAAGTGCGCAGCTTGGCCATGCCGGAATTTGAAGCCCAACATGCGAGACGCACGAGCTACTATCACTAAGTCAGCACACGCTCGACGAGCCAGAATTATAATGTGTGAACAGGCAATCATGCTCGTGCTGGTAGCGATGTGACTGACCGAATGAAGTTTGGTCTTTTGCCTGGAAGGGAATTCAGTAAAGGCACTGGACAAGGCGACGGCCTCAAGTCAGTCTCATCTGGGTATGCTATGGTGCGCTATCGGTATGCTATTGGTATGCTGTCGGTGAGAGAAACTGCGGCAGCTACAACCACTGTACGACGAGTACGCGGTTATTACAGCTGACAATGATGATGATGATGATGATGACTGAAGTTATGGAAAAATGGCCCTCATTTCCTACTATTGCCAAGTAAGAAAGATGAACTTCGACTGCGAGCACGCCGTCAACTACCAGTGCCGTACAACTCCTCAATAAATCGCAACATGTTGGAGTAGAAAACGGTAAATAATTATTATCTTTCTGTGTGAATTCGTTCTTCACATTCATCAGTTGAAAACTTGCCAAGGGCCCAGTGATTGAAATACTAGGGAGTCAGCATAACACAACCTGAACAATGAGAAATATCTAAACAGTTGAAAAAATCATCAGACTCCCACCAAGTCTTGCATCTGAAAGTCAGAGTGGGTTGTTTTACCACTGGTCGAACGTTTGAATCGACTGCATGCACAAACATTTCACCACCGTGAAGTAGAACGTCATACACACATGATAAAACAAACCATTCAACAGCCCACTTCAGGATTTCATGTCTTCAGAGTGACTGGAATGAAAAGATCATTTGTACCATAACGAAGTAGCAATCTAACATATGAAGTGTGCAAGAAAGAAAGAAACCACATACGGTCTATGAACTATCATAGCCAGCATCCGGAGGCTACTAAAAGCGGGGATACAAAGCAACACAACCAAGCTTGGAGAAAATTAAGCTTATGGTTCTCCGAGAGATTTTGTCAGAAAGAACTTCAAGCAAAAGATACTTCGTTGACAATCTCGAAAACAAGAACAGATAAGTATACAGCTAATCCTATCTTAACTCAGTAGCATACATGATCTGATAACAAGACAGCTGCTGCTATGCAGAATCACGAACCGAGTGCTCATCAGGAAGAAACATTTTGAGATCGAAGGACAATGTCTTAGAAGTGAATCACAACGGTGTTGTTTGCCAGAAAAACTGCAATGGATGCAACATGCACTAGCAAACCAAAATAAAAGTTTCTGCGCGAATAAGCATACTCAAGGCGGTCATAAAAAGACAGGATTCACTGTTCTTGCTCTTCATTCTTGAAGAATAAAGGGTCACTTAGCATGGAAGATGTGGACATCCTGGCACATAAAGGCACGAAGTGAATGGCGAAGTTTTTGAATGCATGACGCCTCACACTAAATTTAATTAACCGGCGTGCTGGAATCAGCCCAATCTACGTAACCCTGCAAGTTACTCAACTGAATACTTCAAAGGGAAGGGAGAACCAGGGCAACGGACTAGTTGACAGGGCCAACCACTGAGCCGAATGGGTGAAGTTTACCCTTTGCGGATTAGAGAGAGCTTGTCTAAGGGTTGATCCGTACGCCGATTAGTCAGACACAAGTATGTTAACCAATCTACCCAAGCAACCATCCAAACAAATAATTACAATGTATCGTCTCGGTTGGTGAAGAAAACAATGTGTAAAACAATCTATTTATCACAGCAAAATCATCCCGGAAAATTCGCCACCAATTTTAGGCCAAGTATAATATATTGCTCACTTTAGCGAACAATGTAAGATCACCCAAATTTAATTTTTGAAAAATTGTTCGTTTAGTCGAACTGCTTATAGATGTGCAAAACAGAAGGGTGTACTTTCAAGATATGTCATAGGGTTCATAGGCTTGCAAAGTAACGAGATACATAGGGGAAGAAGACTAAAAATGCCCACCTATTGCTTTTGCATAAATATACACACAATGATTTTCTCTAAGGGATTTCAAACCCAGCTAAGCTTGACTCATATTTAAATAGATATTTTCAAGTCACCACTTTCTTCATACCCTTTTGGGGACCTCTGACGAGAACTTGCACAAACAGGCTCTTCGTAGATGAGCGAATATGCTTATGTAGTCACCACTGAAAAACTGGAATTTTGCTTACTATTCACTAGCAACTGTTCATTTTTGTAGAGACAACCGTGAAACGATATGGCCGGAAAAGGTCTATATAGTAGTAGTCAATGAAGAGGAAAGATAGGTTCAACAGCACAGACGGCAGAGATTAAAATCACAGGTCGAATTTTACGCAACAACGTTTCCCACGTCTATTCTGACGTTCTGTGTTTGTGCTTTGTCCACTTTGCACGTCTACTTCGTCGTTTTTATAATAACCGTCGCCAGTATATCAAAGTATAGCTCGTTTGTATTCGCTGACTGATTGCAAGTTACCGAGCCTAATTACAAGCAAAGTTTCGGTCGGGAAACAGATCAACTGCCAAACTATCTACAAAACAATGGTATTTTTACTAAAAACACTATGAAATGTTCTCCTCAAAAATGTTAAAAGCTATCAAATACCTACCAGTATAATGAATAACCTTAATTTCCAAAGGTAAAGGAACAGCGTGCAATGCACAATTTTTGCACCACAAAAGAATACACAAGGTATATAACTCAGCACGGTGCACGGTATATGCATGAAGATACTTGAGAGAGTTATAGCATGGAAACTATCGATTATATCCTTACAAGGAGGGAAGAAAGTACGCTGGAATGCTAGTAGTCTCTTCGATATCTTCGTTTACTGAATTCAGAACAAATGGACTGACCTACAGTAGGATGCGGGATGTTTTGAGGGTGTAAGTCTGTGCAAGAGACGTTAATGGCTCTTTAAAGTTTCATATCCGTTTGTCGAACATTCAAGTGCTATTTTGAAGCCCTATTTCGTCAGAAGTGAAAAACGGCAACAGTTTGTTGAACCAGTGAAAACAGTTTTCACGGGTAAGAAGCGTAACTAGTTACGTCTGGCCGAGGTTCACTCTTAGGAACATGATATTCACTCAAAGTCACAATGTCACGAGTGCGCGATATCACACATGGCTTCAGAGAATGCTCCTTGGTGGAGATTATCATCAGATGATATCAATCGTGGAAAGAAACTTCCTGGATGTGCCATTTAACTGCCTCTTCAAGTGGCTGTTACCCTGTCCGAATTAGTTTTGTCAGATCAATTTTGATAGACAACCCTTTCGGAAAAATCAGTGTTAGTCTCACTTTATTAGAATCGGCCAATGGTTTGTCAACCCAGTGAATCCGACGAATTCCCAATAAAACTCCAATTTCCTGTTGTCCTCAGTAGATGATCCTGTGGCCGGAAATACAATGGATGTGTGCAGTTGTGAAGTTGTCAGCATCCGAGAATACATTTCAGAGGTAGCAGAGACCACAGAAGTGATAGAGGGCCCTTTGCTTAGTCCAGTTGTGGACAGATTTACTTCCATCTACGAACTCAGGTAAGTATGATTTCTTTTGGTTTGAAGCTTCTTTGTTCCTAAGTTCTATCCAGAGAAATGAACACTGAGAAATGAGTATTGTCTTTGGATATAGGCATCTATTCAATAAATTCCTCAACAAATTGGTCCTTCACTTGGGAATTAATGCCCGAGTTACTCCTTTGAAGACCGGGTCCTTTTTTTGGGGAGCTTAATAAATGTAAACACATATACGCAAATACTTTCATTTGCATACCAATTTATTTTTCACACAAGACTCTACCGAATCCCGGCTGAATATACCGCACTGGGTGGCCTCATGTTTCACTTGGTACAGTGTTCGCAATAACTTCTGTAGACGTTCGCTTTTATTTGACTGGCTAATGACACTCACTTATTCCAGGACTCCAGTCTGTTATGAAAAGCCAACAAGCTTTGCGCAGCTACTTCATCCTTATTGAGGATTGTCAGTAAGGTGCACCTGACAAAACGTGGGGAGTTTCGAAACAGTGGTCACCCAGCTGTTAGTTTCAAATTTTACCCCCTTGGTAATCGTGATCGGCTGATCAGCAGTGTGGTTAAATCGCGCTTGAAGGGGACAAGGCGTCACTCATCTCTCAGTCACGAAGTTTGAATTTCGTAATAACGTGTAACAAGATCATTCGTCGTGGAATTTCCGCCCGATATGTTCCCTGACCCCCTCGGTTCTCGTATACCGTTTGTCGTGGATGACAAATCTATGTTAGACATAGAATATTACTGAAATTACTGGGTAATACTGACGCAAAACCCAATTAGAAATCACTAATAATCTTAGGTTTATTCAAAAATGTCCACACTTTGGACATTCTAATCCGGATTGTTAAAAACAAGTCAATGAAATGTACAATAATTTTGTTAGTTTAACCTCCCATTACTGTGCCTGAAAATGGCAAAAATGCAAACAGAATCACAGAGTGCAGGGGGCCAACAAAACGAGAATGGCGATTACTGGGAGGAATTGTAGAAAATTCTAAGGTATAAACTCCTGTGCCGAATCATATTACCAAATGGTTTCGGGGTGAACATAACAACATCTTCAAAAGAAAAGTCAAACAGACAGTGTGCTACTGGGGCAACAAAGGCTTGGACAGTGCTCCACAAACTCCATTCCTGTTTTGCTGAACTGAGGTGTCGGGGACTCCATCCGGAGGGGGTTGACGCATAGCGACATTTTTTCCCGGGTTGCTCAGTAGTAGTCTCAGCTGCTTGTTGCAGCTGATCCTGCATATACACAACAGCTTAGAATAATACACGTCAGTAGACAGTCAGGAAACCACACAGCGCCAAGTGATCATACACATGTGGTTTTAGAAGGTCGTCGGTATCCAAAGTTAATTATGAATGAAAGGTTCTTTCGGAGGCGGACCTAATCTGAATAGCTAACCTGGGGGACTTGCGCGCATCAGTTGAGATGCCATATGAAAAAGTGCCAAAGAATACCACTTTTGGTATGATATTTCTAAATAATAGCTCTGCTGCTGGTGATGCTGGCCAATGTTATGGTTTTACCGACAGCATATATATATATATATATATATATATATATATAGAGAGAGAGAGAGAGAGAGAGAGCAAGACAGAAGAATACATAAAAAGCCCAGACTTTCTTCTACGGCACCATATAAGATAATGAATTTCCCAAAGCCACATAGTGTACTCCTTGCGTAGGTCATGTAAGGTGCATACAACAAGTGCTACAGTGTGCCCATGGAGATGAGAAATTTCCTTCGGCGAGAAAGAGTAAAGTTGGTCGGGACTCATATCCAATTGTAATTTGAATGGAAAAAGATGATACCTGGTAGAGTGAAGAAGTCAATTTGAATAGCTTTGATGGACCGTTTTTTGATCCAGTCTGACGCACGAAAAAGTAGACTCAAATTTCAACCTTTTAAATTGTGATAGTCTAGAATACCATCTTTTCTGAAGAATGAAGTTGACCAATCGTCTTGAGGGAGGAGGGAGCAGCTGGCTCGCACATCAGAAATGCTACAGATTTTGCCTCCGTCAACCTTGAGAAACCGGTTGCTTTCCACTGAACTTCAGTGCAATTGTGGAGTGACACGCAGAACCTACGTCAACGAGACTTAACTACAAATCGCACCAGGAAAACCACGGAGTTACTCTCCCATAGTTCGGATAGTTCTATGCGCTTGTGTAGTTTTCATGCGCTGCATAAAGTCAAACGACTCCTTCCACTCTCGGTTAACTGGAAAGTTGCTAATTTAAGCGCATACAGTCTGGTAAGGTGCATGTCAGAAAGTTAGCTCTCAAAGATAATTGATAGTTGTAGTTCCATTTATGAATGGAAGTTTGTTCTCATCAGCAAAGCAAGGTGTTATTTGTCAGCGTTTCTCATCTAGTATGCACAGTATTCAAACACAATTGATTCACCTGCTCAAGCCCAAATTAATGGTGTTCCGTTGTCGTCATACTCATCTCACTCGTAAGGTGATTGGCTAGATTTAAGGAAGATTTTGGTGCTTCTAATGTCAGTTACGAAAAAACACAACTCTCTGCTTTCTCAAATTTTCATGCGTTCAATTTTCTCACCAATCACATTATTCCAGGCATTCATTTTCTGACCACGATGTTGTCCAAAAGGAAGAGGAAACATATCAGTTTGAAGCGAAACCTCGCCCTATAAGTCCACCTCAGTACGCTGATACAACAGAATCGCCATTATATTGGGTAAGTGGTTTGAAATTAAAAACAAAGTCGGTGAGGACTCAGTGTTATGTTGTGCGTCTTTAGGCAGAAGCCCGGAGAACGGGTCGGTCTCGTACGGCCGCATGATTTGGCATAGGTGCTTATCTGAATGTATTCACTGTGAGCTATTGGAGTACTGGTAACACGCTGGTCTCGCATGCTACATGGGACTTTGAATCCCAGCACTGGACAAAGGTTAATTCCAGAACTGACAAGACTCCTATCCAGTATCTCTACCGTCCCCTGCAGACTGCGGAGAATCACACAACTAGTACTTTGAATGCGAATTTGGCAATACACGTACACCACTGTGTGTGGGAATATTCTGCACTCATTCTGTCAGTATAGAGTAGCGTTAGTATTTAGCTAACCCTTCTTCTCGCGGTGATTGCGCAAACACCGGCTTACCGCTTTCACACCGAAGCGCCAACAAAATGTGCAAAATTTGTTAATTTTGCTTCTTTAACTTACAGCGTACCTCCACCCAACCTAAAGGACATGATTTGAGAAGACCCTCCAGTCGAAAAATCAAGGTATATTCCAAACCTGTGAATTTTTCCAATAACTGGAACGAGAGCGACTGTACCGATCGGAAGATTGTATTAGAGGGTCGTGTTTCGGAACTCGAGGCTCAAAACCAATCATTAGAAAAATCTGTGGAAGTTCTAAAGAGCAAGCTTGAAGCAGCAGAAAATGAAATACAAGCTGCGAAACTGGATTTAACGGAATTTGTTCCAAGAAAACTCTTTTTGGAGCAGGTAAGGTTTTATATGTTTGTTTATTTCTAAACTTAATGAAGACTTGGTCAGGTGCTAACACTCAAATCACTTATTGTGACCACTTGGCAGCTTTGACTTTGAGCTGGTTACTTTAAACTTAGTGAGATCACTCGCTTTCTAAATGGTAGTTAGTTTACAGCTAGATTCCGTTATCGAATGGCACAACTGGTACACAAAGAATAATTAGGGTGCTCTTATGATAACGCGTAAACAACAAGTGGAGTTGTTCGCGTGGTTAACCAAGTCAAGGTACCCTTCATCAAGTTTCATCTTCTGCCGATAATGTTCAGGAGACGTCCAAACTGGTCTACGATTAGCCTTCCGGATATCAATCACAAAATTCAGACCAACTCCGGGAACCTCATGATCTGAGTTCGCATACTTATCTTCACTAGACTCTGTCTTCAAAATCAGTTTCCGTACGCCAGTTTATTTAAGGTCTGCTGTGAACGAGAAGGCAATATTCTGTTGTGACTAACTAACATAATCAATTACCTAAAAATCTGAAATTACGGGTGTTTGAATAAAAATCACAGTTTCGAAGAACAGGTTATATGAAGATATTACTTAATCTTTTTGTTTCGCAGACGAAAACAAGCCCGGTCCCCTGTTTTACTCTTCTTCATAGTTCCGACTTCCTGACCTCAATACTTCTTTCATAGTAGCTGTCATTAGAAAGCAACCCAGTAGCTGGTTAAATTTTCTAAGCTTTCATTCCTCAAATATTTGTACTGAGGGTCTGCTCCACTTCCTGGCCCCCTTGTATGTGCCACGTAGAAGTGAAAAGCTGTTGATTGTGCAAAATCATGTTGAGCAGCATCCACACTTAAGCCTAGAGAATACTAAGATCTGGCATCAATTCACATATACACTTAATGATCAGCATTAACGAGGAAGAGTAACAGTCACCTTATACACTTGCATGCCTATTAAAGTTCTCTCAGGGCAGTGCATACCTTCCATTCAAATATCCGAAAAGCTATAGCAGCGGTTTAATTTGATTCTCATTATTGACCCAATTTACATTCTTGTTTATAAAATAGTTTGCAGTAATACTAGCAACCACCAATTCTACTGCTCAGCCATTCCCTGCATAAGGTTACGTGAACATCGGCTGGGAGCACTGTGGCGTACGTATTCACCTGGGAGTGTATTTTACGTGATAAGATCCTACACCTATCAACCAAGTGAGTAGGAAGAAGGTTGCAGCTTTACCTTGTTAATTTGGACAGGGAATTCAGATGAATCAAACTGAACTAAGAACAATGGATGGATCAAAATCGTCATAGTTTTAACTTGTCTGGCTCAGAACAAGCTACAAATTATGGATATGCATTTGTTTACCTCGCCAGAAATCAAAATGTCAAACTGGACATCGTCTCGTACATACTAATGTGAACATTCGTATCTAAAGGGCGAAAGCGTGCCTTCCTTCTCAGCGATTTGACATCTACTCTTTCCGCAACGCTTTTCTGGATGTGTGGTCTGATAAATGGGGCTCCGATACAGGGTAAAAATGCCTCTAGGTTGCTGCTGGTTTGTTCAAAAACCTAGGCAATTTGTTTCCAAAGGTTTTATCATCGGTCAGGGAAGCATCCTCAGTGCGTTGTGATTAGATGCGTGTTGATGTCGGAAAAGTTTTTTAACTAAGTTGAGGAGCACAGCCAACAAAGCAACGATCAACATTACAACTTCAAGTGTATCCCAAGAGGAAGTTACTGTTTATGTTTAGCATACAAGTGCCACGTTCTGCGTCATCAGCTGGCCCAATCATGTGAAATTAGTTTTCAGGAGTAACAAGCTTTAGTAAAAAAACAGCTGATCTGGTGTGTTATTTGATTATCAGTCTGGATTTTGTAGGGAGCCTTTGTAGCGACCCTGTCACCCACACACTTGACTGTTCAACTCAGCCGCTCACTGGATCGCGAGGCTTGTCTTTTTTCTGATAGGCACAAACGTCGCGTTAAGCTGACACACCGGACATCGATTGTCTGCACCGCCTAGTCAGCGTAGCAACCACTCATGTGCCGACGCGCCCACATACACGCACTGGGACATACATAAAGTCAAACCGAACCCAGTCAAAACACACAGACTCGCGCGCGCGCAGGGAGCAGGACGTCAACCTCTCCACAAGTCCACGGACAACCATGGAGTACGTGTAGCAGTCGAACTGCGGAGAAAAACACGTTCCCGCCGTCCGGACTTCCGCCAAGGGACTCTCGCATCCGATAAGTTCCCTTTTTGACTTGCTC